CGCCGGGTCATCATAAGAAGGACTTTCCATTTGGGATACTACGAGGGACTTTACTTTTCTGTTGACAAAAGCTGTTTCACAGCGCCAGAGTTCTTTTAGGAAACCTTGGTTCTGGTTCTCTATTGCCCCCTTCCTTCCCAGTGGATCCAGCAATACAGCCTGGTGTAAATATAAGAAGAATAACATATAGGAAAGGCCAATGGTGTGATTGGTGTAGGTTATTTTTAGCTCAGAACAAATTTCACAGCTGCCTAAAAATAGGTCAATTAGAGACGTCTGTCGGCTTTGGTCAGAGACACGTGATGAATCTGAATGTAATTCATGCCTCCAGACACTCAGGTTAGCATATTCATTTCGGTCAGTGCACCATATTCATGTTTCATAGGTCAAGTTAGCCAACGCTCTCGTTTTATGACAGGAATGAGTGAAAATGTTGAATATGTAGACTATAATAAATGCGTATGTGCCGCTGCTGCACTTATTACTGTACCATCGGGCCAACGTGTAGACCACCTCCACGGCCCTTCTGCTGTGTCATCTAGGAACTGGAGAACCTTGAAGGCTTCACAGGGGCTGAAATGTCTAAAATCCCAAAGTGCTTTTTGTAATGCAGTGATGCCCACTGGTGGCTGTCCACAGCCTTGCGGTCTTAAAACCCGCTGTTGAGTTAGCGTCACGATATTATTTTAAGACTCAAATTTTATTCAGATATGATTGACTTGACTCATATGTTCTGGGACTGCTCAAAAGTCCTGTTTCAACAAGATGAGGTAGGAATCTGAGTATTTATCATCACTTTTTCTTCTTTGGATCTTATCTTGTGCTAAATAGGAATCAGGAAACTTTTATTGCAAAAATATGCCATACATACAAGGACTTTGACTTGGCGGTTGGTGCGTGACAGTAGACAGTGTAACAATAGACAACAAGTTAGATCACGAATGGTTGTCTTTTCCCTTCTGCGGATACCAACAGATTAGTTTTTCGGATCCTTCCAGGAGAGGAAGAGGAGGACGCTGTGGTTTTTAAACCTGTTATTGCTCTCACATTGTCATTAGGCCAGTGTGCAATATATCGACTTATCGCACAATATAGGAAAATGAAAACCACCGTTTTTGGTGGTGCAATATTCATTTTACATATAAATGAGCGTCACGTTCCCTCTCGTCTGCTTTCATTCGGAGGCGGAGCTTAACGGGCGACGTTTTTGTTGTTTCATTTATTTAGGATATATTTCTTCACATTCTGATTCTATTGTCTAACTATTCTGACGAATAGAATGTTCTTTATTCTTTGAAAGAGCGTACCTGTATTACTATGCTATCGTCATTATGTTATCGGTGGCATAAAATGCAGAAAATTGCAATAATATCCCATATCGCAATAAATGTTGGTGCAATAATTTAATAATTTGATATGGCGACAGCCCTACTTGTAATGAAGTATTTACACATTTCTGAGAGTTTTACGGTGAAACTACTGTGATAAGTAGTTGTGGCGCTCGCGTATGTGTCCTGTCCCACGTGTTGTTGAGGGACGCTAATCAGCGTCCTCCTGCTATCAGCTCCAGCCTCCTCTTTTCCCCCCATTCATTCCAGCCCTCTTTGCCTCCGTCTCTTTCTCTCTGTCGCTGTCCCTCTTTCCCGACCGCTGTCGTCACTTTCAAGTCTCAGCGAGCTTTCTTCACAGACGAAAGCGTTCCTAGAGTTTGGTGTTTCAAGCTGCGCTGAGACTGCCTTTAATCACCACACGTCAAATCTGCTTCTTTCTCCTCAGTGCCAATGTGCCATAGTTTGTAGGGGATAATATGTAAAATAAATAAATAGAGCAAGTTAAGCTAAATGTGAGGTTTTCACTTTCGAACTGTGTTCAGATATGAGCTTCACAAATGTGCTGTTGGCTGTGCTGTTTAATACCAAGGAGGCATTATGGTGTAATATGAGGCCACATGCTCTAAACCAGCAGGGGGCAGCATTTCACCTCTGCTCGTGTGGTGTCCTCTGGGTCCCGTTACCCATCTCTGTGTTTACTGGATCTGATTGCTTTCTGACAACAATTGACATATTTTACTCTAAAAGTACATCATATTTCACTATACTTTCCGCAAACCATTAGAAACTGTTGTATATTTCATTTCAGGCTTTAGAGACTATAATAATGATTGTGAATATATGTTACTATCAAGCAATCACTTTTTAAAATTGTATTTTCATGCTCATAAAGATCCCGTGAGTTGAACATAACATGCAGAGGACAGACAGAAAGTCTTTAATGCGACCGCCTTTTTGTGACGCTTTTAATCCCATTTAGCGGTCTAAGTGGCATCATTTGTGTCTCTGCCCTGCGGGGATTATCTGTCTCTCAGTGTCCCGCTCTCAGGCGCACTGGCTGTCTGGCTGAGTCTCCCCCCTCTCCCCCGTCTCTGCCTGTGTCTTCTCCTCTTTAGACTCAGATTTTGACTGACAGCTCTTTATTTACTTTGCTCTCTACTTCTTTCTTATTCCCCCTCCTTTCACTCGCTCTCCCCCTCACTCGACCCCAACGGCAGGACATTTACAAGTTTACATCTAACTTAGTCTAACAAGTTTACGTCTAACTTAGTCTAGCAAGTTTACATCTAACTTAGTCTAACAAGTTTACGTCTAACTTAGTCTAGCAAGTTTACATCTAACTTAGTCTAGCAAGTTTACATCTAACTTAGTCTAACAAGTTTACATCTAACTTAGTCTAGCAAGTTTACATCTAACTTAGTCTAACAAGTTTACGTCTAACTTAGTCTAGCAAGTTTACATCTAACTTAGTCTAACAAGTTTACATCTAACTTAGTCTAACAAGTTTACATCTAACTTAGTCTAGCAAGTTTACATCTAACTTAGTCTAACAAGTTTACGTCTAACTTAGTCTAGCAAGTTTACATCTAACTTAGTCTAACAAGTTTACATCTAACTTAGCCTAACACGTTTACACCTAACTTAGTCTAACACGTTTACGTCTAACTTAGTCTAACAAGTTTACGTCTAACTTAGTCTAGCAAGTTTACATCTAACAGTCTAACAAGTTTACATCTAACTTAGTCTAACAAGTTTATGTCTAACTTAGTCTAACAAGTTTACGTCTAACTTAGTCTAACAAGTTTACATCTAAGTGGGCGAGGCTCATTAAGACTTTTGTGTATTTAATTAGCACATTGATTTCCCCCTCGCTGTGATGACAATATTTTCCATTTGTATTTAGCTATAACTGTATAACTATTGTCATCTTAACGAGTGTGTTTCCTGATCTCAGCCGTGTGTCTCTGCAGAGGAAACGCCGTTGGCACGCCTCTCTTTCAGTGTGACCCCTCGACCTTAAAGGCGTTTGGTCTTGGCATCCGTTGGCCATGAGCTGAGCTGAGTTGAGAGTCGGAGATGAGCTTTTCCCTTCGTCGCCATGTGTTCGTGGCCCCCCGTCCCAGCGGCGCTCGCCACCGGCTCCAGCACAGTCCGAACCGAGCGGAGCAGATGCAGATTCCCTTGTGACTCACTCATCACGTTATGATTATGAGTCCTCGCAGTGAGGAAGACGCAGCCGTGAGGGCACCAATTGGTCACAGTGACTTTCGCCAAGCTACTCTCCTGAAAGGGCGGGACGTGCAGACAGAGACCCTCACAGTGGTTGTTTTGGCGGTTTTCAGGCTGCACGGCTTCGGCCGTGTAGGTGGCGAGCGTGGAGGGAGGTGGGAAACGAAGCACTGGAGATGATGGGAGGAAGAGAAGGCCAGAGGAAGAGATGAGGCTAGTGGATGATGTTTGTACAGACGTCGGCCTCTTTTAGCGTCTCTCCTCCCCGCTTCTCCCTCTGAGCTGCTCTCAGGTGTCAAAGACGAGAGGGCTGAGGGGCTGACAGCTCTCCAGCGGTGGTGGAGGGTTTGGTCACGTACATGCCCACACACACACACACACACACACACACACACACACACACACACACACACAAAAGAGTCATTTAGGTTAATTCAAGAAACACAGATATTTAATACGAGTTTGCTTGTAATATTAGTTGCTCTCTCAGCCACGCTGAAAAACAGACAAACAGAAAATACAGACAGACATTTACATTGACTGGAGAGCTTGAGAAGTGTTGGTTTTGTTTTGTTTTTGTTGGTCAAGTGTTTCCCTCCATTCTTTGTGCCAAGCTACGCCAAACTTCCCTCATAGGTGTATATATAATGAATAGACATATACAATATATGTGTATATATCTAAGATAATACATATCTTTGTATGTGCACATTAAATGATTGATACATTGGGCAGGCTAAGGTGGGGCCGTGCCATTTAACTGAAAAAAATAGGCTAGATTAGAAGGTTTGTGAGGAGAAAACCTTCCTTAAAACAAAAATCAGAACTCTTTAAGCAACTCAATCCAGCGGGTTCAACTCTTCCTCTTGCCTTGATAGCGGAGTGAGAGCTGAAGCCTTTGGGACATCGTCGTATATACGTTCAAAAGTTTCCCACAGTGCTGGACCAATGTTAGGAACAAAACAACATCATCAACGTAACATTATTTTCTTCCGCTTCATGAACGCTCTGGTGTTGCATTTATTCTGTGTGTCATAAGAAAAACATGCTCAACCTAATTTCCCCTAGAGACCAACAAGACATCCTGTGAATGAACAATACCAAACGCATCCCCGATTATCAAACATTAAAAAAATGTTTCGATTTATTAGGTTTTGTCGATTGAAGCTGTGTCCATCTACTAATTGATTGATCAAAAAAGGTTTTTAACACACACATTTGTAGTGCACCCTGGATACCAACAGCACCGTCAGCCAGCAGGCTGTGAGACTAAAAGGAGGAGACAGGGAGACCCAGCAAAGAGAGAGAGGGAGAGAGAGCTGCTCTTCCAACGGGCTGGATTGTGTAGAAAAAAGGATGAGAGGACCGTGACTGAGACAGAAAGGCAGAGAGAGTGTGGGGATGTCAGCAAATACACCCAAGGCTGAGAGAGAGAGAGAGAGAGAGAGCTATACTTAGACAGCAATGAAGATAGTCCGCCACAACTAACCCTGTCCTACAGAGCACGGTGGACTTCTTAGCAGCGGCTCGGGATTGTATCCAAGCCCAGAACTCTGGTCCTTCTCAGCTCGTCTGGACCGGCAACATAATTCCACTGGTCGGAGGATGGAGCTGCTTCCAAAATCCAGCAGCAACTCGGCGCTACTCCAGTGAGACCAGTGCGCTCCTTCTGACTTCGGGAGCCTTGTGCTCTGAAAGCTTTGATGAGACTCGTTGACGTTTCAGAGAGCTGTCGGGTAGCGCTGTGGTTTCATCTGGACCCCCGCGGCTTCTGATGCCGTGTCACTTGGGAAAAGCCGGAGCTGCATTAGTGGCTAATCTGTCTGTGACTCTCAACCGGAGCGAAAGGTAAAAGAAGACGGGAAGGTTGTGTGTGTTGCTCACACAAAAGTGCCAAATATTTTAAAGACCATTACCCAGATCGGTGGGGAAAAGAAATATGAAGAGTATGAAGACTTGACCACTTATCTTTTAGATTCACGAGACACAATCGCTCAAATGAAGACCACCGAGAAGAATGAAGCGCAAGCAGAGACGATCTCGAAGATTCCAAATTCACTCATTGAGGACTTGGTGCTGAACACGACACCTTAGTCACACTGACGCGGCGCCCTCTCACACTTTGTGTGTGAAAGTGTCTTTTCTTTCGGTTTACCCCCGATGGTTGCCTCCGGCCATGACGCGCCCATCGGAGGCCGAGCGGAGATGACCGGGTGTGTCCCTCGCGGGGTCTGAAGCTTTGTGGCCCTTGGCGTCTGAATGTGGCGGTGATATGTTGAGGGCGCCAGGTGTCGCACCAGCTCCGTCGGGCCAAGAGTGGCGATTTCAGTGTTCCGTCGGCGTGGACTGTAGCGACGCTGAGCCCCGCTGCATCTGGCTGGCGGTTTTGAGGAGTGTTTCGCCTCACAGCTCGCGGCGTGCAACCCCCATCGTATCGCCAAGAAGACGGGGCTCCCGGAGGGCCATACGGCGCCACGGCTTGTCCTGGGTAAGAGGGACAGGGAGGTAGCGTTGGGCTGAATCTGCCATTGCCATTTCTTTCATTTTTAGATCAGTTTTCCCAATGAATGAGATGCTTCTTTAGGTCCTCGTTGAGGTGCCAGGGAGCATCAGTCCATAACATGGACAGTTGAATGTTGCAGCGTGTAGTTCTCTCTCAACAATTAGCTGCATAATGCATCCTGTAGCTAGCAGGATGTGTTATGTACCTTCTGCATGTACGTCACGTTTTCACAAGCAAGCTTCTTCAACCTGTGTTTATTGGCTTTTTCACCTTTTGGGGGCAGTAGACCAGAACAAGCTGTATTTCACGTAAACATTTATTTTTACGTTTTTTTCTTCTTACTTCTAAGGTTATTGATTTGTGGCCATAGTGGGCAGAGTTTTAACCTTTTGTAATGCGGATTTCCAAGGGCAGATGATTTTTTATAGTGTACAAATTGTAAAGTCCTTTGAGGAACATTTGTTATTTTTGTTATATTATTACAAATATATTGAAAGAAATTGAAATTTTAAAAAAAGATTGAAAATCGAACAATGTGTTCCTCGCAGATGGAATCAATTAAGTCCAATATTCACTCCCCGTTTAGCTTTGTTTTGGGTCTCCACCGCCTCCTGAATAAAATATCTGGCTTTTTAGCTGCTGAATGCTCCAACGCTCACCGACTAGCTATGGCTGAGTGTGTCTGCTGTTTGGTGCTGAGCTGAGCAATAACTGTAATGGGGGTTTATTAGCTATGGCATCAGTCCAGTACAGTCCACGAGCTCTAGTGTTTCCTCCGGGGTTCTTCTTCCGCCATCTTGCTTTAACCTCTCCTGTCTGCTCAGATACCGATCTTCCACTGAAGGGAAAGACTCCATTATTGACCCTTCCCATTGTTTTTATCACGATGGAGGATCAAACTGGATGCTGTCAACATTCGGGGAGACATTGTCGTGATACGGGGCTGCATGGTGGACTCTGACCAGCCCGTCACTATCTAGATTCTGGAGGACGATTGGGCACGTGGGGGTGTTGATTCATTCGCGGGTGTGTGTCATGCTTTCTTAAGGTGTTATGTAACATGGCACTGAGGGGGCCTGTAGACTAGCAGGGTGGGAGAGATGAGGCTATTGTGTTCACTACGCACATGTAGTTAGATGGCATTTGATGGGTGTATTCATACGCAAGTGTGTGTGTGTGTGTGTACTTTTGTTTGGCTTTTACCTCATCTGTTCAAGTATGCATTGACAATCATACTGTTTCGCAAAACACACTCCTTGTAGATGGACCGTTTTATACTCCTGTGTGTGTGTGTGTGTGTGTGTGTGTGTGTGTGTGTCAGTGTCAGTTTGTCTTATCTGATCTGCAGGGTGGATGAGTGTCCTTCTTTTGCATCGTCTCTTAGTTCAGCTCGTCTCAGCTGCGATTTGAATGTCAGCTGAACAAAATATTTTCAACACCCGACAAAATAAAAGGTCTGCGATTCAAATGACCAAATCCAACTGGGACAATCAAAGTGACTTGTGCGGTAGACCAGAGGGGCAAAGTGAGTGAGTTGCCGCTGTTAATGAAGAGCGATATCTGAGTCAACACAACAGGCCCTTGTTGTCGCTAACAGAGCAGCACAATCAGGCTGAGGCTCATGAGGATAATCCATTAAAAACAATATTATGCTTAAGTTCCTTTTATGGATAAAAAACTAAAAATTCTCCACAATGCCGTTGTGACCAACATTGTCAAAAACATCTCAAAGCTACTTTTGTTGACTGTTTATTTACTTGGTTACCAGCAAACAGGGCGAATAAAGCTAGCAGAGCTAACAGCTAGCAGGGCTAATACAGATAACAGAGCTAACAGCTAGCAGGGGTAATACAGCTAACAGAGCTAACAGCTAGCAGGGCGAATACAGCTAACAGAGCTAACAGCTAGCAGGGGTAATACAGCTAACAGAGCTAACAGCTAGCAGGGCGAATAAAGCTAGCAGAGCTAACAGCTAGCAGGGCTAATACAGCTAACAGAGCTCACAGCTAGCAGGGCGAATAAAGCAAGCAGAGCTAACAGCTAGCAGGGCTAATACAGCTAACAGAGCTAACAGCTAGCATGGCTAATACAGCTATCAGAGCTAACAGCTAGCATGGCGAATAAAGCTAACAGCGGAGAGTTTGTTTTCCATGTTGTCTTATTCTCCTGAAGGTTTCACTACTCGCTCCTGATATCTGATGTCTTCAGTGAGAAATAAAAAAATCAAATATGCTTCCAACCAATCAGCCGCGCAATTAACTAAAGAGCCGTTAGTTCTGTGAATGAGCCACAGAGAAAGCTGACGAAACAAACTACTGACGTTCTGTAAAACACACTGTGGCATGACGACATTTCCCCCTGTGGGTGTTTGACAGAGAGATGGAGAGGAGGTAACAAGTAGAGCATCTCACCGCTGCGTATACATTCATGTGTGAAAAGGCACCTGCAGAGATGTCGGACTATGAGGGATCAAGTACAACAATGAGCCTAGCTATCTCACACACACACACACACACACACACACACACACACACACAGATGACTTTATGCTTTCAGGCCTTCACACACCACAACTTTCCAGCACAACCACACAAACCCACACAGAGAAATGTCAGTGGGCAGGAATCATCTGAGCTTATTCCATTCTATATGTTATGTAATGCTGTACGAGTGGCTCCTTTGAAAAAATGTTTTGTCTTCAGCTTAGGCGACAACCTGCAGAGTGAAGTAAACTTAAACTCTTCTCTCTCCATTGACTCCTCTGGTTGTATAGCAGTCTACGAGAAAATGACTGACAGGTTACTGCCAATACCAGAGCGTTCCCAACATGGTAACTTCTGTCCATTGGTTGTCAAACATCACAACATGTGATCAGCAATGGTAAATCATGGTAAATCAGTAACTATGTATTCTGCTTCATACACAATAACGGAGGGGCGGCATTTTATGCCGTGAAACGGGGAAGTCTCCTAAGCTTGTGATTAACACAGACATTATTTCATCAAACCAAACCACAGTTTAAAGTAACGTATGTATTTTATATAAATATGTATATATTTTCTATATATTTATACAACAAATGTTGAACATTCCTTGGCCATGAAGCACTGAATTCAGGAGGGGAAAGAGTGAGTCTTCTCTCCGCTCTTCCTGGATGCATTCTTAGAGGCAAAGGATCCCCACACATCCGACCACCCACTTCCTGTCTCAAGAAACCAACTTCCTGTTTTTTTGCCTGCGTTGGGTTGATTTCACATATAATGAATGCGTGCGCTCTTAGTGTTGATGAATTAGAATTATCTATATTTGTATGACCATAATTAGACCTCTCAAGCAGCCTGAGCTACTTTATATCCCTTTGTCGAGGTTCAGCATCGATGTGTATTGGCAAGAATTTTGCTCAGTGTTTCTGTGAGAGGAATACTGGCCTCATTCTCACCTTCTGCAGCTCATACAGCCGAAACTTCAACATGCTCCTTTTGTCCACTGCTCCTCTAGTCTTTGCTTCCAGATCTGTGTGTATGAGCCCCAATAATTTCCTGTTGTTCCATAACTGTTATTTATGGACTGTACATATTTTTAACTCTTCCATTGTTGACTGGAGATAATAAATGTGATTATAGGTGGGGTTGTTTTAGAAAATAGAGCTTCCTTTTCAGAGAGAGGAAGTCTCTGAGAAATTCCTGGCATTGGTGTAATCGTGCCCTGTTGGGAGTCCTCAGCAAAAGGACCGGGTATGCTCACTCCTCCCTCACATGCACTCCGCTATGGATGAGTGCACAGTCACAGTTTGACATCCCCATGGTAAAGTTTAGTCGGCGTTCATCAGCCACCAAGAGGAAAGATGAAGCTCAGCGGCATGGATTTAATCCTTTTCCCCCGTTCTCCTCTCACTAGGCTAAAGGACGGAGAGATGGCATGGTGTCGTCCAATGAGAACAGGCGGCGGCCGGCGTCGTCGGGCGAGGTGGAGGGCGTGTCGTGGCAGGGCCCGAGGACCATTTTCGTCCCGAAGAACTCACAGGGATTCGGCTTCACTCTGCGCCACTTCATCGTCTACCCACCCGAGTCCTCCCTCAGCATCAAGGTCAGCACACGTTTCTCCTGAAATCAAATGATAATCTGCACCCGCTTGACTACAAGAGCATGAGACGCAAGTGTTTCCATTCCCGTGCTTTTATGCACATTTTCAGGTAGGTGCCTTTTTGAAAGAGACAGCTGATTGGATTTCTCAAAACAACTTTTCTGACCGATCTGTTGTTTCTTTTTTCTTGCTCAATTGACACATAGAGTACAGTTTACCCTTTATATCTGTCTTACCTATAATTGTAATTGAATGCTACAACCTGTTTCCCAGATTACTGCCTGGAAGAATCTACTGGTGTGATTTTTAGACCCCCCTAAAGTGCACTTTCAAGGACAGTCAGTCAGTTGGTTTGTATTTCAGTCGGGTTGTGAACCAGTCAGCTGGACTGGGCGTGTGGAATGTGAGCTGAGCAGCGCCTCCCTGTGGGCCTCCTCCCCTCTAACATCTGCCCTGTGTTTTCCCCTCAGGATGAAGAGAATGGAAACACAAGTGCAAGAGGTGAGTGTCCAGCTTTGATGAGTCAGCGTCGTGCTTTCCGTCAGTGTCTCTAAATGCCTCCTGGACTCATGGGACTCTATTGCATCTGTTTTGTAATCGGTAGGACTTGTGTGTGGGCGGGGCAACTGTATGTAGGTGACTGTAAGTGTAGGTGGAGCGTTGTGGGCTTTGCTGATATTCCAGGAAGCGCACGTGTGTGCTCTCAAACTGTATCCGCGTCTTTGTTTTTTCAAGCAGGTTGTCAGCGGTCTCGCTTGGAGCCGATGGACACCATCTTTGTGAAGAGCGTGAAAGACGACGGGCCCGCGCAACAAGCCGGACTGTGTACAGGTATAAGAGCCAGCTGAGCTCGGGGTTACCCCCCCCTCCAGTGTTCCCTGTCTGCGTACAGCGGAGGACTGAGGCAGTTCCGTGTATACTGTCGTTGAGGGTCTGCATCCATCTGGCACACGCCATCCCACTCGGTTTGCCAGGAGCTTGTTGCCACTTGGTTGCTTTTATGTTCATCAGCCTCTCAGCCAGCTGGACTGGAGCGTAACTGGAGCTTGGTCCAACCAGCAGACATTACAACTAGTTAGTCCCTCTGCTGTTTGTCTGTTAATGCCCCATTTGTATACGTCATGTATGTGGTCAAGATGTCAAGGGTTGTTTAAAAGCCTTATGCAACACAGGGATGTATAGCAAACTTCAGTTCTTCTTCTTATCTACGGTCCGTGTGTGTGTGTGTGTGTGTGTGTGTGTGTGTGTCCTCTAGGGGACAGGCTGGTGAAGGTCAATGGCGAAAGCATTCTGGGTAAAACCTACTCTCAAGTGATCATGCTCATCCAAAACAGGTGGGACTCTGGTGTTGACAACACATTCCGTTACTCGTATCACGTATTGATTCATTTATATTGTGTTGTGTTTTTGGTCTGTGCCTTGTAGTGAAAACATTCTGGAGCTCTCTATTATGCCCAAAGATGAGGATGTGTTGCAGTTGGTAAGTGTGAGTATTGTCCTTCTATTTTCTCTTTTCCTTTTGATGCCGTGTTGAGTGCAACAGGGAAGGAAGGGAGCTCAGCTGTTTGCATAATTATACTAAGTTGCTTATTAGTCTGCCAATATTATAATGACCTTCAGAAACAATAACAGGTCAAATCAATTAGAGCAGAAATGAATACAATACCGTCATTGTCTTTTGAAATACAAAAACCTGTAATAGGACAAAGAGAGACATTGGATCTGCCCCCTCCCATCCCCTACTCCCATCTGTTATCTCTCCTGTCATGTTTTTCATCGGGTCCCGACCCCTCTTGTCCCCAGGCGTACTCCCACGATGCCTACCTGAAAGGCAATGAGCCGTATTCAGGCGTGGCCCAGAACCTGCCGGCTCCGCCCCCTCTCTGCTACCCCTCCGCCCCCCCACACACCCCCAACAGACCCCCCGACAACTGGCAGTGCAGACCGGGCCCCGTGGGCTCCCCGCTGGACAACCGCCTGACTGCCGCCGCCGCCCACCCCGCCCCCGGCTGGCCCGGGGGCCCCGAGGATCCCGCCGCCCCGCTTGCCCCGTCGGGCCGAAACCGAGGTCGCTCCTCTTCGACCATCAGCGCGCTGGACTTTCACTTTGCTAACCACAACGCTGCCATTGCCTCCGCTACGCTGCCTCCCCCGCGGAAGAGCAGCGCGCAGGCCCCTCCCCGCACCCACGCCGACGCCCTCTGCCACCAGGCTCTGTCGGACTGGTACTACAGCCAGGCCGACGCCGCGGAGAGCATGTCCCCCCGCCACCGCAGTATATCCCAGGACTGTTTGGCGGAGCTGGGGCTGGGGTTGGCCCTCGGCCCCGGTCCCGCATCCACGAGCGCCGCCGACAAACGCAGAAGGGAAACCCTCCAGTTCCACCACCAGGCGGCCGCTGCGTCCCATGATTCCTATTGGTTGGGGGGTTGGGGCGGCGTATCAGCGCCGGGGAGCAGTCCGCTCAGAGAGCCTCCCTGCCAGCGTACGCCGAGTACGAGCATAATACGGCCCGCTCTGTGGAGACGCTGGCTCAGGCCTCGGCGCTGGTGTCCCCGCTCTGCCAACACTCCTCACACGCGTCACAAACGTTACATTTCAAAGAGCAGAAAGTCCCGGCGGTGCATCAGCACAAAACCACGGTGATGTCCCCCATCACAGCCTCCTCCACAGTGCCTCCCAGCAGCAGGCGGTCAGGCCAGCAGGTGGCCGAACCCCAAACGCGGCGAGTCAAAGAAGAAGAAGAAGGAGAGCTGGTGGGCTACAAAAGCTACAGCCCCTCTTTCAGCCACAAAGCCGGCCATCTCCTCCAGCAGGCGCACTCCTTCAGAGAGCCCGGCTACAGCGGCCCCCACCTCGACTGGAGCCCCGACAGCAGAGGCGGCTCCGTGGACGGCGAGCTCGCCGCGGTGCCCAGGGCCCAGTCTACCCCGGCGCCGTCTGCCTCGATGGAGGAGAGAGCCCGGCCGGGGGAGGACGCGGAGCTCGTCTCCCCCGGCTCCCTGAGTCAAGAGGTGGTCCTGAGGCAGAAGCCGCCCTCCGGCCGCCGAACCCCTGTCCAGGCCGCTCGACTGACCCACTACGCGGGAAACGTGGAGTCCCCAGAGTCCCCCGGGGTGGAGCCCACGCAAGGGACCCCGTCTCCAGCCGGGGGACCAGGCACCAACCGCAGGGCTAATGGTAGCCTGGCACAGCACGCTTACAACTCGCTGGCCTCTATTCCCTTCATAGGTTAGTGACCTTTATTCATGTCATCATGCTACAAGTGGGTTTAATTAAAGATAAGATATCACTGATTCAGTATTATAAAAAACTACATTTTTATGTTGGATGTGTTGGATGTTTTGCTTCACATATGTATCTTACTGCATGAGGCTCTTGTAGAGCTCATCATCTGTCTCCTTTCTGACATTTCTGTGTGTGTCATATACATGTAAATAATAATGTGTGTACTCCCGGTACATTTCTGCATGCCTCAAGAATGTTCCAGTGTTTTTGAATGTCAAATGTCAACATTTGTCTACTGTTCTGTAACAGAACATCTGCTGTAAAACAGCTGCTCTGGAGTCAGAAATAATTGTACAGGTTGAGTCAGCAAGTCACGTGACTGCGGCTACTGTGAGCAAACAGCGCTGCGTCCCGTCGCCGAGTCATTACTGAGTCCGCCGGCTGCCTTTAGGCTCCTCTATTTGTACCAATCAGGACAAGAAAACCTCCAACAACATGTATTGTATTATTATAGTAACAATAGATGTAGATCTGTGAAGATGGCTCGTGGTCACACTAAACAAACCAAAACCAAAAAATAAAAAATGTTTTGAATGACCAAATTTGACCATTGAGACCAAATGGAGTAGAAGACGCAAACGAACATTCCCAAAAGGCTTCTGGTAATGACGGTCGCTACCTCAGGCATGATAGCGTGTAGATAGCGTGTAGCCTACATTGCAAACATGCATTACCACTGCAACAACGTCAATGGTCAAATAGCTGGTTTTACCATGACTGGAAAACCTGGGACGCTGCTTGGTTTTAATTTAATTTTGCAAATGCAAAAGAAAAAAGAAAAATGCATTAATAAATAAATAGATACATAAATACAAACATTTTATAATACAAATACATTTTAAAAGTTAAACCTTTGATAATTAAATGAAAGTGTCGATAAAAAAGGGAATTATTACAACTATTCATAGCACAAATATTGATTTACTACATTTATTTGTTATATTTTTGTATATTTATTTATCTCGTTCCTGCTTCTTGTACAGTAAAATGCACTGGCGCTTACGTTTGGCAGGGAGCTTATTTCTGCCTCCAGAGATGTTGTAGCTACCTAATCTCCCCCTGAGAGAACTCTTGTCTTGTCAGCATGTCTAATCATTTCTCGTCGCCTGTTGCCCACCTGTGATGATGACTTGCAGATGAGCCCAGCGGTCCTAGTAGTGACCTACAGGCCTGCTATGTACCAGCCCGCTCTGTTGTGTCCAGTTCCCAGGCCTCCACCACCCTCACTTCCACCTCTGTCCCCCCCACAATCTCCTCCATCTCCCCCTTTGTCCGACTTGGTTCTCAGGACTGCAGTGAGTCTCACTCACCCACTCTAAATGCTGCCTCACAGGGGCTGGGCCAATATAGACAGTGTGGTTACGATCAGCAATGTTTATTCAGGGTTATTTTTATCAGAATGACTTGATTTTGGCACACTGGTATATCTGTCCGGCCTCAGACTCATCTTAAATCAAACGGTGACATTTACCGATTCCCTTCCATCGTATTTAAAGGCTCTCTATGCTGAATTTGAAAATCTTTGGTTCTGTTCTAAATTCCATATGAACGCGCTAAAAAAGCCTAAAAAAGTATTCTCTTTCTTTTCCTTTGAAGTCCCTGATAACAAAGCATTGTGGGTAAAGTTTGTCCCTAAGGAGGAACGGCCAAATGTCACAGTGTTCCTTTAAGGTGCTGTTTGTGTGTTTAACTCATTGTGTTCTACTCACAGAGACATAACTCACTGCAAGCGCTTCTCTGTCATTTTACATCTCACTACACACAGTACATGTTTCTATTGACCCTCCCTGTCTCCCCCTCCTCTCCTCCTCTGTCTCCCCCTCCTCTCCTCCTCTGTCTCCCCCTCCTTTCCTCCTTCTCTCCTCCTCCTCTCCTCCTCTGTCTCCCCCTCCTCTCCTCCTCTGTCTCCTCCTCCTCTCCTCCTCTGTCTCCCCCTCCTCTCCTCCTCTGTCTCCCCCTCCTCTCCTCCTCTGTCTCCCCCTCCTCTTCTCCTCTGTCTCCTCCTCCTCTCCTCCTCTGTCCTCTCTCTCCTCCTCTGTCTGACGTGTCCTCTGTCTCCTCCTCTGTCTGACGTGTCCTCCGTCTCCTCCTCTGTCTGACGTGTCCTCTGTCTCCTCCTCTGTCTGACGTGTCCTCTGTCTCCTCCTCTGTCTGACGTGTCCTCTGTCTCCTCCTCTGTCCGACGTGTCCTCTGTCTCCTCCTCTGTCTGACGTGTCCTCTGTCTCCTCAGGCAGTATTAAAAGTCGCCGCTCGTCTTACTTGCTGGCCATCACCACCGAGAGATCCAAGTCCTGTGACGAGGGTCTCAACACCTTCAGGGAGGAAGGCCGCGTCTTCTCGTAAGAACTCAGAGGAGCCTCTGAAGCCGCATGCTTTAGCGTCTTCATAGTCCCCTGTGTACCTCAACGTGTTATTGAAAGGTTGCTTTAATAGTCATTGAGAGACTCTTTCACTTGCTTTATGGTCACGTGCAGAGCTACAACAGAGTATTGACTGCAGTATGATTTTTATATCTTATTTATGATTTAGTTACTTTGGCTGAACAAGCAGTGTATTATTAATAATAATGATAAAATACCTTTTTGTACACAGACGTGTCATGCAACTCGTGTGCTTTGTGTTCCACAGTAAGCTGCCAAAAAGGGTCAAGAGCTTTTTCGCCGATGGGGTGAGTTTTCCACACAGTGGATCATTACACTTTATTATACTTTTTATTTCAATGTTACCAATTAGTGTGCTACCTAAAATGTGTTTTAGTCTCTGGAGAGTCTGCGAGTGCAGGAGGAGGCCCGGTCCAAACGCCACTCCACCTCTGAACTGGGAACCATCACCTTCAGTGACGTTCGCACGGAGGGGTGGCTGCACTACAAACAGATCCTCACGGAGAAGGGAAAGGTACAACGCACACTATGCGTTCTACTAAAACACAGAGGCTTAACAAGCATGACACTGGACGACCAGAGACTGTGATATCTTTTCCCTTGATGAGAAGATAAAAGCCAGCTTCTCCTTCCTAGACAGCAGCGTTCCATTTTGCCAGGCGATTTAGATTTTTCGATTTCTCTCGATTCTCTCTAGAACGATTCGGTCTCGATTCAGAAAAGTTAATAATCGGAATTAAAAAAAAAAAAAAAAGTCCGTCACGCGAGATGTTTGCTCGCTCGCGGAGCGTGAACTTCCTCGCTCGCGAGGTTCGTCTCTGCTCGCGCTCGAAGGTGTTTTCTACGCGCTCGCTGTTTTTCTTTTTGACAGTAAGGGGGCGGAGCCAGTCACCATGGTCTCTACACCTCTAAACCCTGTCTGTGGATTGGCTGGAGTGATGCGTTCACACAACTATAAATATAATATAATTATGAGATAAAACGTTGTCAAAAAACAAACGACCCCTTCGGTGATCGTAGTGGAGCGTCGACGACAACCAGCTACACCGTCATTTACCATCATTACCGCCACATTAAGAGCAATGCGTCCAGCTCGCAGACCGGTCCGTCAGTCTGAATCTGAATATCTAATAATAACTAATACCGAACTATGGAGGAGCCTGCGCATATATTAGCTCATTATTTCCATTTTCCAAAAAGTCGATCCGTATTGAAAGTTGGCAAGATATTCACAGATTTTGACTTTTTTCTGGTATTTTGCAAATACGGACCGGTCTGAGACTAAGAGCAGCTTTTTCTTCATTTAAAAGAAAAATCATTCTGTTTAATATTTTTTTACATCGGCTACTTCTACATTGTGTTGAAATGCAAGCTGCATTGGTTCTTGCATTGTTGATAGAAAATCATATTTGTGACAAAGATTTTTTTTTTCTCTTATAAAAATTAGAGAAGGTAATTCATCTGTTGGTTTTCTTTAATTATCAAATAAAGTAGGAAGTGATTAGCAACCTCTGAGTAGCAAACTCAGATTTGAGAAAATGTAGAAAATCGAGATGCATCGATAATCGTTTTATCCGTTTAGAATCGATAATCGGTTTAGAATCGAATCGTTGACCTCTGAATCGGAATCGAATCGAATCGTGAGGTGCCAAGAGATTCCCACCCCTACTGATGACGTTTCACGGGTCCACGAGAACACAAGAACACATATTGAGAAAGGGCCATTAGCCTCTGTCTGGCATCAAATATTTTTTTAAAAATGACTTTTGTTGCTGTCCAACATCAAAACTTTGAAGACACAAACAGACGAATGAGTTCGGCCAAGTCATGTTGAACATTGCCATCCGATAAAGAGAAGCATAGAGCCGCTAACGGGACCGCTGAACGTCGCTGTGGCTCCGGCTAGTCTATGTACGCAAAGTCAGTTAGTGTAACACGTAGCATGTAGCCTGGTGCATGCTAAAGTCAGCTGATTATGTCACAGCAGCTAATAGCTAATGAGTTTATACATTCCCATTCATTCATAGTTTTGGGGTTTCAGACGGGTGAAGAAAACACTCAGTGCTCCTGCAGAAAGTGTTTTACGGTTGCTAAGCTACAATGGGAGGTTTCTTATTTCAGCTCGTGTCCTCTGTATTTCCTGCCTGTAGAAAGTGGGAGGCGGCATGCGACCGTGGAAGCGCGTCTTTTCCGTGCTGCGCTCGCATTCGCTCTTCCTCTACAAGGACAAGCGAGAGGCCGTCCTCCACGGGGCGGGGGCGGGGCCTAGCCTGGACGAACACCCTCCGATTAGCATCCGCGGCTGCCTGATCGACATCGCCTACAGTGAAACCAAGCGGAAGCACACGCTGAGGCTGACCACGCAGGACTTCTGCGAGTACCTGCTGCAGGCCGAGGACAGGGACGACATGCTGGCCTGGATCAGGGTCATCAGGGAGAACAGCAAGACCGACAACGAGGTCAGATCCTCACGCCTGGTTCAGCGTGTGGAATTGACACTAAACACCTCCATGCTGAACTAGTTTGTCCCGTGTGTTTGCCGTAGAGATCGGCTTCTCAAGACAAGCCCTCATCAACAAGAAGCTGAATGACTACAGGAAACACAGGTCAGCGCTGCAGACACATTGAGTCCTGATCGCAACTGGACCTCATCCTTTGTGTCATAAGGAGTTACTGTCGCCCCGCAGACAACTTTAACTGTGTCTGTTTCTGTCACAGTCTGACAGGCAGTAAGCCGGACTCTTCTCCCAAAGCCCACCGCATGATGCCCCCCTTCCTCCTGGCTAAGACCGACAACACCTCAGTGAACCGAGCCTCCAGAACCGGTGGGTCCAAACACACAAAATGCTAACAGCCCCGTAGCCGTGCATGCAGTGCAGTTCTACGGACTCCACCCAGAATGCATCTCTGAGGATGACCATCTTAGTCACCTAGAGAGAGTTAGAGGATTCTAACTGTATCCCTGTGTGTGTGTCTGTGTGTGTGTGTGCGCGCACAGAGGACAACAAGGCGTTGTGGGGCATCAACCTCATGAAGAAGGCCAAGAAGACGAGCAGTCCGAAGGCTTTCGGCGTGCGGCTGGAGGACTGTCAGCCCGCTGTCAACCACAAAGTGAGCCCTCCTGTCTCATGATGGAAGATGACCGTGATGGGAACCTTCAGTCCTCACATTGAAATGAGTTTTTGTCCGTTCACTTGTAACACACACGCTTAGAAGATGAGTGAGGTTCTTTGTGATGAAAACGCATCACATGACATTTTTTACCATTCAAATGAGGGAATGTAAATCTTTTTCAGATTTTTAAAAACGGATATTGAAAGTTAAAAAAAAGCTATTAGTTTCTCTAAAAAAGTCAAAGTATCCACTGAGGTTCCTTTCATGTATTTATTATTGATATACTGTGGAGGCTTGTTTTGACTTTTATTCCTGCAGCCCGTGATCAAGAACTGACTATTGCTGCCAAGATGAGGACTGTGTATTTTATTAAACTTGAGTTAAAAAGACAAAAAAGAAAATGCAAATTAGGCAATATCTCTGATCCAATTAGCAGACATTGCCAGTACCAAAATGTTTGATAAACATTTGATGAAGCCATGCCCACATTTCTTGTTTTATTGAGTTGATATATTAGATTTAAAGGTTTCGACAGAAGGTACTCTTTGGGAATGTCTTAAACCAGGTATGAAAGGTTGTATAAAGCAGGTTTTGAATGAGACACTCGTCCCTCTTCAGTTTGTCCCTCTCATCGTGGAGATGTGCTGTGGCGTGGTGGAGGAGACGGGGCTGGATTACACCGGTATCTACCGCGTGCCAGGCAACAACGCCATGGTGTCCAACCTTCAGGAGCATCTCAACAAGGGCATGGACATCAACACCGCTGAGGAGGTGAGCAGGATCCACGGCGAAGGGAGAGGGTGTATCTGCATGCCACCGGTTCCCTGGTTAAAAAGGTTCTTGCACCACATTCTGGATTGGTGCAGTTAATTTGCTCAGTCGTCCAGATGACCAATGAACACCAAAGGTTCATCTATTTGCCCTCTGGCCTGTTGGATGAGTTATTTTCCTCTCACTCTGCACCAGAAATATCAAACGCTCCACCTCTCCTTCTCCACAGAGATGGCAGGACCTGAATGTAATCAGCAGCCTGCTCAAGTCCTTCTTCCGAAAACTGCCTGAGCCGCTGTTCACGGATGGTAAAGTTCCAGTATGAACCTGTCAAGCAGAGGATGTGAAAGCAGCTGGATTATCTGACACCGTCTTACACTCATTTCTTATCATGTCATTTCACATAATACCAAATGCTGAAATGTGTGTATACTGTATATCGGTTGCTTGCTAATGAAAGGCCTTCCCTCTCTACAGACAAATACAACGACTTCATTGATGCCAACCGGATAGAAGACGCGGAGGACAGACTGAAGACCATGAAGAAACTGGTACGAGTCCAAGGATAACAAATACGTCTCTGCTCTCTTTCAGCAGATCAACCTTTTGGATCTGTTTCTTTGCTTCATTCATCTCATCTGTCTTTTTTCTCCCAGCTCCACGACCTCCCGGATCATTACCATCACACCCTGAAGTTCCTGGTGGGTCACCTCAAAAAGGTGGCCGATCACTGTGAACTCAACAAGGTAACATTCCTCTCACTTGCAGGTTTCTCAGGGTCCCTCATGGAGCCGGATGTGCTCTTAGCTCCTCTGTCGTGTTTTCAGATGGAGCCGCGGAACCTGGCCCTGGTGTTTGGTCCCACTCTGGTGAGGACGTCGGAGGACAACATGACTGACATGGTCACACACATGCCTGACCGCTACAAGATAGTGGAGACGCTCATCCTGCACGTAAGAACTCCCGCAACTCCTGCACCTCTCTGTGCCGTTGTCTTAACGTCAGTGACGAGGCGTTGTGTTCCTTCTACAGCACGACTGGTTCTTCACTACCGGAGAGCTCGATGAAGAGGAGAAGGTGCGTCACGCCAGAGAGACCAGAACGTCCCCATCGTGGGCAGTGTTTGGACTCAGGTGTCCTTGTTGTCCGTGTTTTTATTTGGGCTATGGTTGTGTGTGTGTGTGTGTGTGCAGGCCCCAGAAGACAAGCGCGACATGCAGCCGGTGCCCAACATCGACCACCTGCTGTCCAACATCGGCCGGCCCGGGATGCCAGGAGAGGCGTCAGGTGAGGGTCCAAAGGAGACCTGCTCAACTCTATCTGAGGAGCTTCTCTCCGCTTCACTTAATGTTTTCCATCGTTCTGATGAGGCGGCACGAGTCTCTTAACTGGCCAAATACAGGAATCTTTCTTTTCTTCAAAAATATCAGTCGCGTACGATCCCTAAAATAATCCTACTGTAATCAGCTCAATAAAATCAACCCATTTATATTCAATATTCCTATTTCAATTGTCAGCTGTAGCGGTCAATGCTGTGAAGTTCACCATTTAACCGAGGATTCAGATTCAATACAAATAGATTTGTGTGATGTAGCAGCAAAAACAGCTGAAAGCACAGAAAGGTATTGCACCCGTTTATTAGACACCTACATAGTGCAGCAGGCTGCTGCTGGGGGGTCCGGGGAGGCTCAGATCGACCGGACCCCAGGAAGCACAGTTCTGCTAGTTTGCATGGAACCCAAACAGACAAATCAAAAAGCCTTTCCTATAGCGGACGACTAGGTCAACATGTTTCGACCCCTCTAGGTTCTAACGTATATACGTCACAACCAGAACCAATAGATCTTCAACATAGAGCTGCATGAAAAGGTCCAACGTGGACGTCAGAAGCATAGAGCTCATCGTGATGTCGAATTGCTTCCACGTGCCTCCTTCCCTACACGCTGTTCTCCTAATGCACCCGTGTTCTTATCAAGCGACTCAGCTCTCTCCTTCTCTTCCTCCTCTTTCTGCGCTCTCTCCCTCTCCAGCTGAGACAGTGGATCAGCCTCTTCGGTAGGACCAGGTCTTCCTCCTTTTTGTGTTTGCTTGTGTTTGCTGTTTCCGCTGCACTTGGGTTCATTCACCCGTTCGTTGTGACTTTTTGGTCAGCGCCCTCCTCCCTGCCGGCGGGGGTGTCACGGTTTGTGTGTTCTCATTCTCATTGGATGACACGGTGTGTCCGCACTTGTGACTTTTGATTGTGTGTGAAGGAGAACACGTTGTGCGACGCTACCAAACTCCACCGGAATAGAAATCAAACTGTGTGCGCAGCAAACCGTTACCCCCCCACCTGCTGGTGTTACTGGGGAACTGCAGCCATTGTTGCTACTTGAAGTAAAAGAAAGCTGCAGGCTGTATTTGAAAGACAATCTCTGATAATGGCGAGAGTTCTCGTGCCAGATCGCAGTCCTGCTGGTCACTAACACTACTACCAACACTTGAAGTGAAGACGCGCTTCTGATCCACGTCTTTCCCTTTTCTGACAGATTCCACCACCAGCGATTCACTTAAATCAAAGGTAAGCCACAAAGGGCCTTAATTCTGTGGATGGGATCCTGTATTGTGGGCTACAGTAAGAAGTGACCGGAATGTTTGACCTTTCAGCTTTCTTCGCTCTCCAAGAAGGACCTGAGTGCCAGGGACTTCCTGCCCAAGTCCATCATCTCCGCTGTCACCCGCAAACGTAAAAAATGCCTCAGTGGCCACGTGCAGGGCGGCAGCGCTGACGAGGACTCGGAGCATGAGCCGGTCAAAACCAGCAACTACGGGGGAGGAGAAGGCAGGGGAGGGGAGGAGGAGGAGGATGCAGGGGAGGAAGAGGCGGTCAAGGGGGAACTTGCTATTCTGAAAAAAGACAAAAGAGATAAAAAGGAAGTTGGGGCGAAAGCTAGCGAGATCGCTGAGGGCAAAGATGTGTTGTCTGGAGAGGAAGAGGGGAACAGAAACCAGCAATGGCGCCAAAAAGGAGAGCTGGCGAACAACCGCCCCGCCCTTAAATGCCACTCAACAAAACCTTTTCCCCCGTCCGCACCATCGGATCGATGCCACTTACCCAAAACCCGATCCTTCCCACTCGAGGCCTCGCGCTCCGGCCAGAGAACACTCCACAATCCCTCTCTGGATCTGCCCCACCAGGGTTCCCAGCATCTGCCCGTCGGGTTACGGGACCCAGCAGCCAGACTGGAACCAGTCGGCGCCAGTACGCTACCGGAAGACAAGAGGCGGGAGGACGAGGGCCATTTCCATGAATGTGGACCTGGAGCTGTGCAGGAGTGACGAAAGAGTCAGAGGGTGGAGAGCAGAGAGGGTGGAGGTGATCCGAGTCATTGAAGGAGCCCCCGATCAGCATGGACGTGTTGGGGTTCCTCAGGGATCGATTGTAGGTCCTGGGTCAATTCAACAAATGGATCCCCTTCCTCGTCGCCCTCTCCTCTCCTCTTCCTCAGCCTGGACAGATCTAAGCTCCCCGGGATCTCACCCGGTGGTTCTGAGGCGATCGGCCATGGATCCTCGGGACAAGACGAGAGCGTGGCGCCGTCACACGGTGGTGGTTTAATCCACTGACGTAGTACCACGTACGTCAGGACGACCCTTTGACATCGTGCGCAGCTGAAGAGTTTCATTCCCAAATTCAAACTGTGAAACTCACTATGAACAAATTCTACCATTCAACTACTTTTCAAGCTACTGACCTTTAACCCTTTACTCACAGTAATTAAACCTTGTTGTATGTTTTCATAGGAACATTATGGCTGATTAGGATCCTGGTATTTCTGGCAAATTTACACCAAAATCCCTTTTCTCAGGACGGATACCTGAGGGATCCTGTGATTTTAAACTTGTAGGTTAACATTCTAAATCCACACTGATTTTGATAGAGTCACACTATGACCCAACATGCTAACACACAAACCCGCCCAGGACACCCTGGTGTTGCGTTAGCAGCGCCAACTGTCCATTCCTCACATGTCAGCACCCTCAATTCCATTGAGATCCATTGATTTGATGGTAACCAATTACTGTTTTAAATGCTGGTGTGACCAAGCAATATGACTCGATACCCATTTTCATCCGATGACTTTTAATGATAAATATGTGTATTAAGCTGTGTGGCAAAGTATACTTTTGAAATATATTTTTCTAGATTACGGGAACGGGACAGAGTGCAAACAATCTGACTCGCAGATCTAAATGTCAAAGATGTAGAGATATAAGGCTTTGAAGGCAGAAGATCATCTTAATGTGAAATGTAACTAATGTTGTTGAACAATAATCCCAATTCGGACAACCAGGAAATGTTTTCTTACATAATCCTCCTAATTTTCCTACATGAATAAACTAGAGTAACAAATCCAGGGCTCGATGTATTACGGGGAATCAATCCTCCTAAAATCAGATGAAAACCTGCCACTTATTATTATTATTAGATTCTCGTGTAAAAAAAAAAGGTAACCATCGATTAAGAATTTTTGCAGCGTTTCAGTGTTGTTCTTATTACAACCTCTAGGTGGTGCCAAAAGGAAGGACTTCACATGGCCTTTACCTTTCGTTTCTAAAATAATGTTTTGGAATGAAAAATATACAAAAAATAGGATCAGAAGATAGAAAGAGTTTATCTCCAGAGCGGAGATGGAAGCACGCGTTCCTCGCTGCAGACCGACTGTTGTTGTCCTCGACGACGGCCACAACAATGACACGTGACCCGGCTGACCTGGTTCCCCCGGCCCCCCCAGTCCTCTACCTGCTCCTCCTACGGATCTCCAGGGGACTCCTGGGTCCCCCCTCGCTCTCTCTCGGGACTTGGGCGCCATGCCGAAGCTTCCGAGGACACATGTTGTGTGCGTGGGGTCGGCGATTTTAAAATATGCAAACTCAGTGTTGAACACGAGCATATCATGGTTCCTGTCTGGCGTGTCGGGGGAGGAGCTTAAGGAAAAGTTTAAGGCAGCTATGCGAAGTTATGCCAAAATGTTTTGTTTTAATCATTTGTGGACAATTTAGAGCCAAAAGAGAAGCTACGGGAGGCTCCAGTTTCTACATGATATCAGTGTCATTAATGTGAGTGAAGAACCTCCTCAAACACAAAACCACAAAGTCTTACCCAAGTGATATTTTTCAAATTTTCCTTTCCACGTGTGGTGGATGTTTCCGCTCCTGTGCGGTGTAGAGAAGTGAACTAAAGTGTACTGCCAGCCGCTGTCATGTTCCTGTGTGGGTCCCTCTGTGCATGTACATGAACATGGGGGGCTGTGTGTGGACCAATTTTTGTAACAGTTGTACAATGCCTTGTTAAGTTAACCTGTATATATAATTATTATACATAATATATTAAATTATTTGTTTTTGAAGAGGGGTTGTATTTTTTTCATCATAAAATGGTTGTTGAATTCAAATGGGTATTTCGGGGGGGGGGGGGGGGGGGCAGTGCATGACGTATATATTTAAAAAAAATAATTTCAGAATTTAAGCCATGTATATTATTCCTATTTAAATTTTATTGCAATCTGGAATGCCATTGGATTCATCACAAAGGAATTGTGTCACATCCAGAGGATCTCTGAATAGACTTAAAACATCTATCAGTGACCTTTTCCCCACTGAATACAGAGCAGCATAACATACTGTGGAAAGAGGAGTTATAATCCCAGTTTATAATGTAGAATAATTTATTGCCAGTTTTTGTGCCTCTACACTCTTACTGTCCGTTAAACTTCCCGTTTACCACCAAGAGAAAACCACCACCTTCTATTCAATATAGATGTATTCCTTTGAGCCAGGCAGTAGTATTATATTATGAATGAGCAGCCTCAGGGACACTCATCATCATCTCAGAGGACCCGATCTTGAAGGAATTATTGTCCCGTTAGCACACGGCGGTCTGAAGTTACGGAGCAGTGAAAAGAGACGCTGACTGAACAATCTGAGGCCAACAATTCATGTGGAATATTCCTGTGGAATGATGACGTGCGAATCCGTGAGTAAATGGAACATGATGATCACGTCTTGCAAGGATTAAATAACCAATAATTTACGCTCATGATCAGCTCCGGTACTAGAATCCCTCAAGCGGGTGTGGGCGGGTCCCTCCACCGGGTGGTGCGTCTCCTCTCGGAGGAGGCGGCTCCCTTGGTTTCAGTGCATGTGTGAGGAGGGCCGAGGCCGCCTTGGCGTTCCTATTTGAAGAACGGGATGACCCGTCTTGCCGCGGCGCCTCAGGACGACGGGCGACTCCTCCGCTGGGCTCTTCTCAGCAGCGAGACCAGACCCTGAGCGACGAAGGGCCACAGCAGGAAGAGCGCGGCGGTCTGACCCGACACGTCAAACAGCCCCCACCTGTCCTCCTGAGGAGAGTCACACGCGGTTAGCATAGCATAGCTCCAGTCGCCAGGAGCACCCGGGGGGCCTCTTACCTGCTGCCTGGAGGCTGCGGCTTCACACTGGAGACACGAGCGCCACGGCGAGCTCTGCGCCTGTCGCACAGGAAGCAGCAGTGAAGCGCCACATGTGTGTTTGAGATGCATGAAACTATTTGGGTAGAAAATATTCTTAAATACAAGCTTCCCAAATATTCCCCAAGAAAAAGGCATAATAAAGATGGAAGTGGTTTATTGCGGATTTACGAAACTACAATGTGCCTTAATCCGCTACTGAAAAAAGTCCCCTGCCGAAGCACAAGTTTCCACAAAGGTTTTTCGTCTTCGCCCCCCCCCCCCGGCTGCGGGGGTGCTCACGTGTGTGGCGGCGAGCCTCTCCACCACCTCCAGCCGCTCCATCACGCTCCTCATGTCCTCCCTGAGCCTCCGTAGGGCCTGAATGATCTGCTGCTGCAGCTGGGCATCGTGCAGCCGCTCCACTCCGCCCTCTGAACCGTCCCCGCCTCCTCGGCCGGCCCCTCCTCCTCCCCCGCCCGCGGGGCCCCCCCATCTTCGGGCCTGAAGAAAACCGCCTGCAGAATAACGGGGGATTCCCGTACAGTCACCGCAGGAAGTAGGAGGTGGAGCAACAAGGGCGAACATAAAACCATGTTTACCATTATTCATGGAAGTCTTTTTATTTCATATACAAATCAACGCCCCCTTTCTGTCTGAATACTATTTCACAGTCACACCTCCATATTGTGATATTATGGAATTTGATGCATTTATTGTTGGAGCAGCACGTTCTTACGTTCTCTCCAGTTGTGGAGGGAGCCTTCCCTCCCGCTGTCCCGGGCCCTCCTGTTTGGACCTGGACCCCTTCCGTCCTCCGCCCCCTCTCCACCTTGACCCGCCCCCACCTGCCGCACTCCCAGGGCGCCCTCCGGCTGCTGGCTGTGACCGGGCGCCGACTCCAGGGACACGTGGGCGCCGTGGAAACCGTTGGTCTTGACCAGAGGAATCTGCAATTTAATCTTTTTTCTAAATGGCTGAAAGAATACTTTCTCATTTCCTGTGGCTGCTAAGTGTGTGGAGAGGGAGGGAGAGGGGAGAGGGGGAAGGAGAGGGAGGGAGAGGGAAGGAGAGGGCAGGAGAGGGGGAGGGGGAGGGAGAGGGGGAATGGAATTTGTACCTTAACATTGCTGAGTTGCTCAACTGAATCCACAGAGTCGCAGAAGATCTCGCTCTCGGAGTCACTGGTCGGGGCCAAACCCTCACAGGGGCCCGAGCCTGCAGGGGCACAAAGCAGACCCCCCCGAGTCTTTGTAGTGCAGGACAGTAATAAGCTGTCAAGCCACTTAAAGGCGGCGTAGTGGAGGAGCGGGGTGCTTCACTGTGGACAGACGGGTTCGGGTCGTACCATTAGGGATGGTGCTTCCAGTGAGGCCTACGACCTGAGTCGGGCCCGACTCCTCGTCTGGGTGGGCGTCTTCATCAGCGGCCGGCTCCTCACCCTCCTCACCCTCCTCACCCTCCTCGGCACGCTCGCCCCCTTTAAGACCTACACAAGGACAAACACTCAAACTTCATTTGCTACATTTCGCACAGCACAAAACAGCAGCTGGGTTCTTTTGCCCTCGGCTCAGGGTCACCGACCTGCCGCGAGTGCGAGCAGAGACCCGGGGGGGCGGGGCATGTCGTCAACCACCAGGTAGAGCGGCTCGAAGTGGTGGAAGAGCGAAGCCGTTTTCTCGTTCATGGGCAGCGTGTCGACGACCTGCAGTCAGTGGAAACATTTACCGTCACTGTGTGTGTGTGTGTGTGTGTGTGTGTGTGTGTGTGTGTGATACAGAGAGCAGAGGATTGTAAACGAGTGAGTCGTGTACAGACAGAAGTCGTGTAAATAACAAAAGACTGTTTCAATCATCTAATAAAAGAACAAGGAACCCTGTTCTTCGGGCCGGTGACCTTGAATGACTTCCGTTGTGATCTGTTGTATTGAACGTGTACCTCCTGTGCCACTTTCTTCATCTCGTCCACGTACGCTGCCATGGCGCTCTCACTTCTCATGTCTCCCAGGCGTCTCCAGGCGTCCCTGACACATTGAGGACACGACGAGAACATCAGGTCAACAATCGGCCGTCACACCGCTACTTTCTCGACGCGTTTTGTCATTGCTGTATATTCCCAGCTGATGCACCCCGGGACTTCTAAATAAATGTACTCCAAGATTTGACGAACATTACGCGGTTTCATTAAGCCCCGCCCCCTGGTGCTCCTCCGTCAGATTCACACTAATCATCATATCAATACTTCAAAATACACATTTGTGTTTAATTTGCAAGATACTCTCAGGCAAAGGGACTATTCATCACTTCACAACCGACTGGAGCATCAGATCCCCGTCCGCCGAAAGCACTGAAGAGCAGTTTTTAAAAAAGCTTTAGGGGAACCGAAATATGTGTCTAAAAGTGTGATTGCTGTAAACATAGCTTTCTATATTAACCTCATGTTCCCTATTGTAACATTTAAAAGAGATTCCGAATGAAATACACTGTACAGTATGAACCGTACTCGTAATGACAAATCTGCACAAGGCTCAAACACACAGACACACACATACACACCATTTGTAGCGACCCACTGGGTCCCAGAAGCCGGGTCGGGGCACTGAACAAGGTCCACACACGGCCTGCTTGTACAAACTGTAGAAACGCAGCATGACCTCATAGGACGGACGGTAGGAACCTGCAGCAGAACCGACAGGAATGAGCTTCGTCTTGCTGACTGCTTATTGCTCCATTTGAAGGGAAACCTTCAGTCAGTCAAGAATACACAAGTAAACTACAGTAGAAATTAGGGCTGTCAACCAATATTCTATATTCGAATGTATACTAGAATGGTTATTAAAAACAACTATTCCAATCTCAAAATGAATATTCTTCAAAAAAGATTCAAAGCTCTTGATCAGCACTCAGCAGATTTGTTTTATTATTCGTTCATTTAACGCACAGAGAGAGAGATCTGCGGTCTTGGCCGTTAGTGAATTCACTCATTTTTGTGTAGGTAATATCTTGTTAAATATGTTTAAACCTAAATAAATTACCTATACAAGTAGTCATGTCTCGTTGTATTAACTTGTCCAGTTATTGACGTGTCTAATGCGCAACCAGATATTCGAATAGATGTGTTTTTTTAAAGCGAATATTCTGACATCCACTTCTGACAGCCCTCGTAGTAATTCATGTTCACTTTAGGTCGGAGGGTTCTGTCCTCAAGACATTTCACACTTTGTTGTGTTTACATGTTTAAAGTGTACTGGCCACTGTCAACTTGTCATCAGCTTAGTGCGGCCTTCTCATGGGCAGCGCTACACATTCTACAAGATAGTAATAACAATAATAACAGAAGCATGAGGTGACATTGCTGCTCGTTTAGATGACGAGTCATACAGGAGGTGATACAGGTGTTCGTGTCTAACATGAAGCCGACGGTTGGTTTGTAGAGCACAGAGAGGTCTGCGGGGCGGGCGGGCTCCGGGTGGTGATGCGATGGCTGCAAAGGCCACGTACCGTCTTTGGGGAGGTTGTGGATGACGTCCACAGCGGCCTGGAACCGTCTCTGGTGGTCCACCACGGGCTGAGCCACCGCCGGGACCGGCATGACGCTGCGCGCGCGTCGGATCTCGCTGGACGGGACGGCTACTGGATCCCCACGCACGCGCGCACACACGTACACACGCACACGCACACATACAGGATCAACCGGAAATGTCCGTGACCATTTGCTGTATTTAAGTTACGCTGCTTATGGTAACACGCATATAACGTTGACGTTACACGCGTGAAACTCCGCTGCGCGTTTATGAGACGCGCTGTTAACGTCTCATGCGTTCTGGTTTCGTTATAGAAGACAAAACAAGAATAACAAGTGGAACAAATGGGAGTTGACGGTAGTTGACGTTAGCTATGACACGCTAACTTAGTTAGCCAGAGCTAACGTCAACCTGGGTAAGAAGTAGCTTAGCTACAGTGGCGTTAGCTAGCTGGCGTTAATTAACTTCAACGTCAGCCGCCGCGCGCTGTCACTGTTGTGTTTGTCAGAAAGAGACAATGTGGGTTCAGCGTTTGGTTTCCCTTCCTCTCGTGACGGAGCCTACCTGGGTTGGACGTTGGGGCGGACAGACGGACAGACCATCTCCGGTCACTGCGTTCTGGGTTACGGAGGCGAGTTCCGCGTCAAATGACGTGGCACATACGATCCCGCCCACTTGTAGACTTAAAGTGGCAGCCCTCAAAAATGTACTGTACGTGTGTGAAAACTAATTGTGTCAAAACTCACGTGCGATAACAATTACGAAACGCATTTAAATGAACACACACAAAACATACTGAATTGAAATCCATTACTAGCAAAATAACCTCTCAGGAGCTGGTCGTGATGCCATGGCAGCCCATTTCCATCACTAAAAAATGAAGATATAAAGTTGAAATTCTGACTTTAGAAATGCACGTGCGCAGGATCGTCATCGTTACAGCTCGCTAAACAGAACTTTGTCTCTGGCGTCAATGATTTTACATCCAAACTTAAATATAGTGAAAAGAAAGGGTTGATTCTTAAAGATGGTTTAATGGTTTATGGTTATGCGTGCCCACGTCTCCTGAAGGCAATGCGGTTGAGGAAGCTGTCAATCATGTTTACACGCCCCTCCCAGTTGATGCCCCGCCCCCTACGCCACATCAGGGTCAAAAGTATGAATGTGAAAAGAAACCGGGAACAAAAGATCTGAAAGTGAAAATATAAGATCTGAATCTAAAAATATAAAATCTGCAACCGAACAATATAACAGAGTGAATATAAAACAAATACAAGTGAAGAATGAAAACAAACATTTTATTCAAAAGAATTATAAAACACTCATTTAAGATTTTTCTCAATCCATAAAGAAACAATCCCCTGTCAGTTTATCACAACAGTTCAGAATTACTCTATCTTAGTTAGGGATGCATGGATTTCTATTAATAGGAAGAGTACCACATGTGAGAAATTAGTGCAGGTTGTCAAACAAATGTAAGAGATTAAGCTCCATATCTGTCGAAAGTTGTTTAAAAAGTACATCGATCCTGTATTTAAATAGCTATTATTACAACTGTATAAAGCTATAATCTGTAATAGTGCCAGTGCCGTTTCTGAAATGGCTTCAATAGCATCACACGAGCTGGACCTGTGTCTGATCCACGGAAGACATCACTTCTCTAAGAGCTTCTGCAGCCGATGAGGCACGCGGGGCCATTTCTGCACAAATCACTGCGCGGCACCATCGACGCAATTACCGCTGATCGATTGAGATGATCAGCTGCTTCCAGTTATTATACCTCATGATGGGGATGTGAATCAAATGGGAGACCGGCGGACTGAGAAGAATACAGCTTTCTCAAAAATATATTCACCTTTATTTATGATCCGTCTAAAATACCATCAAGCTGCCAGAGACACACGATAAAAACCCGGAAACGCGTAAAGGTTTGATTTCAAAAGAAAACACGAATAGTTGCTTTAAAGAGATTGACGCTAAAAAAAAAACGAATCGATAATTTGTTATTATGTTTGTAGGTCTACTGTTGCTACTAAACTCTGACTACAGACTACTACTAACAGAATGTCATCTCTCATCAAAATGAATTATATCATACAACATTTCAATGTTATCAATACGATACAGCCAGTGAACAGCAAGCTCCTTCCTTAGGAACAAGTCATGAACAGTTAACAGCGAGAAGGATGATTCAAAGCTCCTGAGGAAAAGCAAGTAAGTTGAACGATACAATATTTGGTTAAGTTATAATAACATTTAATTTATTCTAATGTCTTTCATTATTATTAGTATTATCATTACTATAGGGTAGATCTATATATAAGTGACTTTGATTGATAGCTGTTGTAGAACTGTGTTTCAGGAGTTTGTTTATTGAGTATTTGGATCCCAGCCACCCAAAACACATGCAGGGCGTCCACTGCTCTTATTTTGAAAGCCCCTCCACAGGAAGCTGCTGTTTGCGGCACGTGCCTTGACCTTCTGGTGCCGCTGTGGGTTTATTCATCTGACCAGTGACATCAGCAGGGGGGAAAGGCTCGGCCCCGCTCCCCCCAAGGATAAAGTCGTGGAGGTCCTCCTGCCCGCGGTCTCCTGCGTGCTGCCGACCCGCTAGAGCGCGAGTCCCCGCAGCCCCAGGAAGCACGCAGCACCGCCCGGGGGGGTGGAAGGCAGAGCGATATCAAGCGCTGCTCCTTTCCGTCATGTTGGGCAAAAAGAAAGCGGCGCCGGCGGCGAAGAACGGAGCCGGGACGTCCGAGACGAAGGCCATCGACCCCCTGAGGAATCTGGGTGAGTGTTTGTGTTATGCGTGCTGTTTCAGACCCCCCCCCCTCTCCCCCCCATCATAGCGGACCACCGTTATCCCCAAACCCCCCCCTCCAATAAGCGGAATAGATACAAGGAACAGACCATTTCCCGTAAGCGTGATTGAAACCAAACGTTAACCTCAATAAAATATCACATAAATCCCGTTTTTGTATTGAGACCTTTTTCTCAGCGTGAAATGCTCACTGCGGACTCCTGGATGTGGGTTGAATAATGTGGACGCTTTATTGACAGTGAAGACATTTGCAATAAAGTGAATAAATACAGTGCTGACTCCTGCACATGGTAGAAGTTTACCATTTACTGAATATTCTACTAATAAAGACCATCAATGGCATTCTGTGATATATTAAGTCAAACAAAAATAGGAACAAAAAAATTAGCCAATCTTTAATTGAAATGACTAATTGTTCTAAATAGTCTGGTAATTTAGAACGTGTTGTCCACAATGTATTTAATTACATTGGAGCTAATGTCTCTTTATCTAACGTTTAAACGTGTTTGTTTCGTACACACTGTGTGGTGGTTTTGAACCTGGGGTGTCCCACAACGGTAAAAGTACACGCTTACAGCTGGTGGAGCACATTTTCTCTGACTAACCCGAACGAGAGGACGTATTCAGGGCAGCGGGTTACCGGGTTCCAGGCGTCCACTGCTGTCCCCCACAAGTCTTTTGAGGTCATGTTAGTGCCCTGTGCCCCCATGTCATTACAGTGTTATACGGTGTTTTCTCCCAATATTGATATTTTATTTAAGCCAATAGAGCAGAACATAAAAACAAAAATCCCAAGTTATTCACCTCCGGCAGGAGGGTCCTGCGTGAATGACTTGGGCGTGCGTCTCTGTCCACGTCTTCTCTCGCTTTCTGCTGCATTACTATTTCGGGTGCTTTTCACGATGTTGTCAGTCACTTATTAACACAATGAGAGAAACAAGCACTTCCAGGGGACGCGGCCGTGCTGCTGCTCAATACCAGGCCCTTTTACCAAACGCCTTTTCCCCGGTTAAAAAACAGCAACGTTGCCATTTAATAACTCACGTTGTTTTAATTATTAAGTGTCGATTTGCATTTCCAAACAAAAGCAACACGCTCTATGGAGAGATACAACTACAAAGATATAGTATAGTTTGGCCTGTCTGCCTGCAGACAGCAGCAGCGGCACGGAGCCCTTTACACAGCATCAGCATCTACAGATACAGATCATCTCAGCACTGCCTCCGTCCCCCACGGCCTCACTACAATGTTTAAATGAGCCAACGCTTGTTGTGCACAGCAAGCCCTGAAAATATTGTACTTTTTACCTCACAGCATATGAGCCACAGTTACTCAAGACTCTGCTGGTTCCACGTGCAGCACAACATGTATTTATTTATAGAGCAGGTATTACACATGTCCCGACCATCAGATCCGATCACTACGCAATGACCACATATAGGGACGTCTTCTTGCTCCCTTTGCCTCCGTGGGCGCTGTAAAGTCGTCCCTATTTCATTGAGTCTTCGTGATCACTTAAAGGTTTCTCAGAGGGACTCATGGACAACAATGTGAGCCACATTTGGTCCGTGCTTTTCCTCCGCTGGCTGAAAGGCCAAAGTGCAACTCACCAAAGGTCCAGTTGGCTGCACACGAGAAGTCACAGGCGCGATAATATTAGCCTACTGGTGTTTGTGTGTTTTGCCGCTACACACTGTCTGTGTGTGGTTTGTGTCCTCAACCCTCATGATGGAGTAAATACCACGACATGTTGAATTTGACCCACTGCTGCACTCGTGTTCTCTTCATTTACAGCAGCTCTCTGCTGTGCACCGAGCAGCGCGTGTGTGTGTGTGTGTGTGTGTGTGTGTGTGTGTGTGTGTGTGTGTGTGTGTGTGTGTCTTGCAGCATCGTGTTTGTCACCCCGTCCTTCTCAAAACCACTGAAGCTCGTCTGCTGACTCAGCGGCACTTTGTCACCTGCAGTGCTTCTGTTCTATTCCCCTCAGTGCTCTTCAGAAGAGTCCACATTAGATAACAAATCCCGGCCGTCCGTTGGAGCCCCCCCTCACAGGACCCTTGAGTTACATTCCAAACAGGCGGGCCGCCCTGATTGCCGGATGCCACCGCCGCTGCTCTCGTACGGAGGGTCCTGCTGGTAACGTCAGGCTGTGATTTTCAAATCCAGCACCTCGAGGTCGGGACGTTGAGGCGCTCGCTTAGCTTAGCATAAAGCGCAGGGGGAGGCAGCATGTTGTACCTATAAACACCTTTATTGGCACTGTGTGCTGGGAAAAGTTCCAGCGTGCAACTCTCTGTGTGTACAGGATAAACAAACTAGATGAAGTAGTTTGCTTAAAACCTTGAGGCTGTTTATTAGTGATAAAAAGTGCAATAACTCCGCAGGTACTGTAAGGACATTTCTTTTGTCGGGATAAAGTGGAACCCCTGTGACTCACGTGGGAAACTACTTACAGGTGAATAAATAAATCAATATAACACACAAAAAAAACTTCTAAATTTTGTAAATCACCTGAAATAAAATCACTTAACAGACCTCGAGGTCTTAGAAAACATTGAGATACAGATTTCTGTGACGGCCTCACGGACCGGAAACGTCGGCTGTATCCGGCCGATTTGCCTGTTTCAACCACTTTTCATATTTGGATCCGATTAAACCAACGCAAAAATAATAATAATACATTTTTTATAGCGCTTTTCTGGGTACCCAAAGGTGCTTTACAATGACAGTCAAGAACAAAACCAGACAAAGAAATGTAGGAGAAACATACAGATAAGAGAAATAGACAGAAACACTAAAAAATAGAAATGAATAAGTCAATAAATAGAAGCGGAGAAGGTGGGGCCGAGGAGGACGTGATCGACAGCTTCCTCAGCCACTCAGAAGCCAAACGTGCAGAGCGTAAGAGGACCCTGCAGAGCGGGAATGATACTTATAGCAGCGTCTATGCGGTTTCCTTTGCTTTGCTATGGAAATATTACAAATCACCACCGTGTGCACGCTTCCAGGACTCATTTGCATACGATATAACTCTACACTGTAAGTATGGAACCGATTGGTGCACATTGTAGCCAAGACGCCAACGTTCCCAACAGTGCGAAGCATTCATACACAATCCTTGTCTCGAAGTGGCTGAAGCCCATTTCTGCACCAAAAAATAAAATTGAAGGGATAGAAAGTTGAAATTAGGATGATTTCTAAAGGCTTTATAAGTGTAGTCATGGACACCAAATATGGTCTTCCTCACAATCCTGACCGTCCTGTTGTCTGGAGCCTGACCACTGGCCATCATCGTGTCAATATGTGTCCCTGATTTAAGTTATTTATCATCAAGACAGCAGAGACACGTCTCCACTTCTTGTTGTTAAAGCTTCACTCACAGTAATATTTTGCACTCTAACCAGTTCAGTTTTAAGAAATATATTTGATCATTGGATTCACTCACTAATAAGCAGTAATATTGACTCCATCATCGAGCGGTGTGGGATTTGATGCTCCACCCTCTGAACAGTTCAGTGTGTTTCTACTTCTTACTCAGTGTGGCTTAGATCTTCACTGCAGCAGCCTACAGGGACATCCTCCCCTCTCCGTCCTCCTCTCTAACCACACCCGGCTGGCCAAAGGAAATGACAGAGCTTCCATACAAGCCGCTGTGGTCCAACAGATGCACATATATACATACACTAAGTTTGGATTCAGACTGCGCTCTACCCTTCTATTATCTCCTTTCATCCTCCCTTCCCTCTCCTCCCCCCTACAGTTCGTCTTCCAGTCCTGCTGAGTTGCCTAATGATCCCGTGAATACTCGCGGCCTTCCCGCAGTGTTCAGGACCCCGTGTTCATCTTCCTCCTCACCGCCCTTTTGTCTGTCTGTTTTCCAGGAGTGCAGGAGGATGAAGATGTGAAGCGGATGTTGCAAGGGTCCAGCATGATAAAGGTAAAGCTGTTCAAGCGCATCGAAATCAGGTCTTCAGTTCAGTTATTTCTCCACGAGATTTGACGGATTCACCCATCGCATGTGAAGGTCCGCTCACCTCGCTGGCAGAAGCGACGGACTCTGAAGCTGATGGGAGACGGCGTCACTGTCTGGTGCCAGTCCCACAAAACATCCAACTGGGCCAAGGAGCAGCAATCCTGTAAGTGGGACTCCATGGTCCACGTTCAAAGATGGTCCACGTTGAAGTACGTCAGCGGGTACCACTGCATATGTGAAAAGTTGTTGCTCGATGCCACATCAGCCAAAGTAGAGATGAAGTGCTCCAAAAGAGAAGTGCATTTTGCCTGCAGAGCCCGGATGGTTGACGGTTTATAACAGCAGCTGTTTCGGTCCTTTGGGAAGGTCGGTTGTGTGAAGTTCAGTATCAAATCGGCTTATTTGATGAAATTGAACTTGTGTTGTTTCTTGTTCTTCCGAGTTTGTATCCTTATGGTTGAATGCACTTGTTGTAAGTCGCTTTGGATAAAAGCGTTGGCTAAATGTAATGAAATGTAATGTAACGTTTACGTTACGTTATGTAACCAGTTGGGGTCTTGTTACAAAGCCAGACTGTCTTTTCTTACTATTCTGTACAGGCTACGGGATGTTTCCACCTGTGGGATTTCCCTCATTACAACCTTTAAATAGCCACTAATGACGGTTAGACGCTCGACCCCTCCCAGAGGCAAAGAACCCCCTGCAAGCCCTAATTGGCAAACAGCGGGGCTTCAGGGCCGGGTGTGTCAGGTAAAACGCGGCTGCACGGTACTTATTTTTGTCAACCTAAAATGCTGCTTACTGCGCGCACTCCTCCCGCCGCCCCCGTCTTCCCCGCGTGAGGGTCACGCGCGGTGCCCTGATTATAGAGCTCAACTATTCTCGGCCCCTAAATGCCCGGCGCTGCTGCAGATCAAACGGAGAGATTATAGGACGTCATGTGGCAGTTGGAGTCGTGAGGTTCGGCGCGATGCGGTTACCGCACGACTCCACCACTGGGTCGGCGCTCCCCGGCGCGGGGAAAGGGCCTCTAACCGCCCCCCCCCACGCCAGACGTATATGTGATGCTTGGTGTGCGGCTTTGAGCGACACCCTGGGTCATTTCTCCCTTCACTTGTACCTCTTCATCCAAGCACAGGTCACTATTGCTATTGTTTTATGCCTGTGCCCCCCGAGTAGATTTACTCTGACTCGACACCAACGGTCATGAATCCTATGACATTTCAGGGAGATCCTCGTGTCCCCGGGGAACAGCATGCGTTGTCAGGTACGCACAGTGTGCACAAGGCGTTGCTGTAGGTTCGTCTGGTTTCAAGTGAAACCGCAGGCAAATAGAGATTGAGCAAACAGCAGCTGACCTGCGGGCGGCAATGACGTTTCATTTGGTTTATTCAAATGCATGTGATTGTGAAAATAACACGCACGGTTTGTGCAGGAAACACTGGTGGAAATCTTGCTGGATGTGTGTGTGTGTGACGGACAGCCGGAGGGGCCACTTTGAGCAGGAATTAGAATCAACAGCCACTGTCTGCAGACACAGTCAGAGTCCTGCAGACAACACGTGACAACACGTTAGCGGTACCTAGATACCAAATGAAAAACCCGAAAAGTAAAGCAAAGTCTGCGTGATTAACGACTTAGTCAAAGAAAAGTAAATAAATGGACACAATATATTTTATCTTTTTGCTGCTCGGATGCGTGTCAATAGAAATCATTTTAACGAATGAGCTTTGTGTGCTTTAGTGACTCGGAATGACCACCTTAAACACACACGCAGAGAACAACAGCGTGAAAGAGAAAGTGAGCGGCGCTAGAAAGTAGAACCACTGAAAAAGATGTCACAAAGATAGAACCGTTTAAATATGTGGATGGTCAGATAGAGGCCAAGTGGACGAAGATTTGAAGCCTCAAATTTGGCATTTTGGATCAAGATGAGTCACGAGAGGGTAGACGCAAGTACAACGGAACACCGCATAATACATTTTCAGCCAAGCCAAATTTTCACAACGGCACGCTAGCGACCTGTCAATCACAAAGTGGCCACGCCCCAAAGTACACCCTGCTTCATCTTCCATTGACCTTTAAGCTCCTGCGGTCTGAAACGGGGCGACACAGTGGCTTCTATTCCAAATCAACTACTAACTGAACGATGCCGTCGGACATTCAAAAGCGTAGCCGTTAATAATCGTGTAGCAGGGTTTGGAAGAACTTGGTCAAACACGGAATATCCTTTGAAATGAGTGGTGGAGTTTAGTGACTCCATGACATGACTCTCAAAGAGTCCAGGGATGAGAACTTACTTCTATCGGTTATCCACCTCTTCAGTACTTCCTCCTGTTCTGGTCTCCTTTTAAATGTCCAATACTGTCAGTACTCTTCACTCATGTACCATTTCTTCCCATCCCTCCACCTTGTTCCTCTCCGTCCCCCTCACACGCCCTTAGTCTCCGTCATGGAGGTGGAGTGCGTCCGCGAGGGTTGCCAGTCGGAGACGTTGCGGCAGCTGGTCGGTTCCGTCCCCGAGCAGCGGTGTTTGACGGTGGTCTTTAAGGGGCCCCGCAAGAGCCTGAATCTCCTGTGCCAGAGCCAGGAGGAGGCCCACCATTGGGCCCGCGGCATACGCACACTGCAGGAGAGGGTGGACAACATGACCCAGAAAGAGAAGCTCGACCAATATCCCAACTCTTGTTCAACTGTTCAGGCTGCATATGCAGTGCTTTTTGTCTGGACGTACTAGCGATCAATTGTTACACCTTTATAGATTTGAGAGTGTAATCAACATATAAATATATATGTATATTATACAAGAATATATATATGCACACGTTGCGAGTCCCAAACCAGAAATCGACATCCAAGTGTTCACTGTGGGCATCGAGTCTCCACCAAACATGTTCCAGCTGCTGCTGCTTCCTTAACCTGGTTTGTGTGTCACCTGGATTCATTCTTTTCTGAGTCGGGCCGACCAGAACCAAGATGATAAGATGAGCTACGATGAGGTTCAGACGCTACTGCAGATGATCAATATTGATCTTAGTGACCAGTACGCCCGTAGCCTCTTCCAGGTAACGAAGCACACACACACTCACACACATCTGACAGACTGGCAAACTAACCAAAGAGTCTGTGTGCGCCTGGTCTGGTAGAAATGTGACCAGTCAGCTGACGGCCGTCTGGACCACGGAGAGATCGAGGTGTTCTGCAGAGAGTTGCTACGGAGACCGGAGCTGGACACTGTGTTCACGCGCTACTCTGCCAACGGCTGCGTCCTCTCCACTGTGGACCTGAGGGACTTCTTGAAGGACCAGGGGGAGGACGCGTCACTCATCCACGCCCAGAGCCTCATTCTCACCTATGAGCTCAACGATTGGGGTACGGGACTAAGGGACAATACATTGCAAGTCACCGACCAATCAGATTCAGCAGAGCAGCTTAGATAATCAGCAGTCTAATTAGTCGGCTAATGGGAGACCAAAATACAGTAAATACGAAGAGAGCATATTGGATCAGCAAAAATAAATCTAAAAATATTCGGGCCCCACTGCAACAAAATGGTCCATGCAAGTTTTATTGAAATAACGACATTTTGTGACTCCATGTGTGCTTTTATTAATAATAGAATAAAGAAAATGTAAGTCACTTTCATGTGTTATGGGAATATGATTCTTTTATTTGAAAAATATATCGTATTTATAAGGGCGGCACGGTGGCGTGGTGGTTAGCACTGTTGCCTCACAGCAAGAAGGTCCTGGGTTCGATTCCGCCCAGTGGCCTTTCTGTGTGGAGTCTGCATGTTCTCCCCGTGTCTGCGTGGGTTCTCTCCGGGTTCTCCGGCTTCCTCCCACAGTCCAAAGACATGCTCTGGGGATCAGGTTAATTGGTGACTCTAAATTGCCCGTAGATGTGTGAATGTGAGTGCGAATGGTTGTGTGTCTCTGTGTGGCCCTGCGATTGGCTGGCGACCAATCCAGGATGTACCCTGTCTATCGCCCGAAGTTAGCTGGGATGGACTCCAGCCCCCCGCGACCCTGTGTGCAGGATAAGCGGTTTGACAATGGATGGATGGATGATCGTATTTATAACGTGGGTAGATGAAATCCAGGGTTCTGAGTGGTTGAGAGTGAGTCATGGGAACATTATTGAGCGATAATGTACAGTTGCTGTTCACATTGACCCGAGCGTTTCATATCAAGGCGCACTCACAGTCACAGGTTAGATTTTGCCTGATCGTTAGTTGACATTTTAGTTTTTAGCTCGGTGGCGATCGCACAAATCCCACAAATGATCGCAACGCGATACACAACGTTTTGTGGCTACAGCTATTTTGTGCTGAAAGGCAACTATTTACTTACTTACTTACTTGTTACATTATTGGACGATAAAGTACAGCCTCTCGTACCTTATTGCTTAATTATGTATTAGTAAATTGTTAAACTGTGTATTACAGTAAGATGTCCGGTTTGATTGAAGGAGGGTAATACAGTAATTGCCCTCCTTTATTGACTTGTGTTTACGCCTTATGCCCAGTACAGCCCAGAAGAACCAGTTGATGACCCGCAACGGTTTCACCATGTACATGCTGTCCAAGGAGAACACTGCGTTTAACCCGGAACATGCCAGAGTTTACCAAGACATGAAACGCCCTCTGGCTCACTACTTCATCTCCTCCTCACACAACACCTACCTCACCAAGGACCAGCTGACCGGGGACAGCAGCACGGAACCATACATCCGGTGAGGATGTTTCTTTTGCTTTTGAAGTCATTGAATTATTGTATTAGTGATCACATGAGGTGCTCTGTGACATCCATTCTCTTCTTCTCTCAGAGCTTTGAATCACGGCTGCCGCTGTGTGGAGCTGGACTGTTGGGATGGAGATAAAGGAGAGCCGGTCCTCTATCACGGACACACATTCACCTCCAAAGTGCCCTTTGTCAAGGTCATCGAGACCATCAACGACTATGCTTTTAAAGTGAGAACTTCGCTGCAGCCGGACGACGTTTGCTGGGCGGTTAAAGAGTTGCATCGGCATTGATCATTTCCCCCCCCCCAGGCATCGCCCTACCCTCTGATCCTGTCCCTGGAGAACCACTGCTCCGTGGAGCAGCAGGCGGTGATGGCCCGACACCTGCGATCCATCCTGGGAGACAAGCTGCTCACCGAGCCCCTCGGCGGATTAGATCCTCACAACCTGCCTTCTCCCGAGGCACGGAGGCCAATATCAGGATTTATATCCACCCATGATTTAGCGTCCCCAATTCATTCAAATGAATTCCCTCTTAAAGTGTGGTGGAATCTCACAGTGATGATCAAGTGATAGGAAATGGGCCGGTTAGACATTTTGAGTGTGGGCGCTACTTTTCAGTGGAGTGTGGATGGAGTTAAAAATAGCCGGCGACTGCCTCTTCGCTCCGACCGCCCAGCGCGTCTGTCTCGGCAGCGGCTGTCGGCATTACGTGCAAAGCAAACTGCTTGCGTTGGACAGGGGGCCGTCTGCTCTTATCCAGCCTACTGATTCAACAGTTCCACAGTCACAGCATGTGTGTGAGGCGCATGCACTCACCATCCACCCCGGAAACCACAGCCCCTTGAGTTCCTTCACACGGAGATCTTATTCTCTAGTGGATTTGATCACGGCGTGCTGTCCCCCCCCCCTTCCTCCGCTGATCCAACATGCAGAATTGGCCAAAATCAACAGTGACGGGCATTAGTCTCATGAAGCCTGCAGAAATAAGGGCCGTGGTCGTTCACCAACGGTCTTAGGGGCTAAATATGCTTTCTGTCTATCCCTGGCAGACTGACGTAGTTATTATGTTTAATACGCTTATTAGTGGTAGTAGCTGTACCATTAGAATAAGAGTAAAGATCTTAAAGTGGCTGAAGCTGCCTCTCTAAGAACAAGAAAATAAGCAACGTTCTGAATGAACTTGTGTGTTTGTGTAAATGTGTTGGTTGTGTGCGCAGGATCTTAAGGGTAAAATCCTGGTGAAGGGGAAGAAGGAAGGCACGGCGGAGAAGCCTTCGTCCAGCTCTTCAGACCTCAGCTCCTCGGACGAGGAGGCCGGCGGCGCCGAAGGCCAAACGGGTAGACGGCCCGAGGACGAGACGGTGGGTACGCCGCCGCCGCCAGCAGCATCAGCGGTACCAGCGGCCCCCGGGATTTTATTGTGTAACGTGGTGGCTTTGTGCGTGTTTGTACCATCTCAGCCGGCTGTGTCTAAGCTGAGTCCGGAGCTGTCGGCGCTGGTGGTGTACACCCGCAGCGTTCCCTTCAAAGGCTTTGAGCAGGCAGCAAAGAGCCCAGCGACTAACATGTCCTCTTTCTCTGAAAGTGAAGCGCTCAGGCACGCAAAGGACTCAGGTACGACGTGTGCATGTCAATAGCATTTCCTTTTTTCTAAAGGAAGCTGCTTGGAACAATAGAAACTAAGTAAAATGCTTTCAACTTCAGCGCCCGGCCAGTTCACGCCCTGCTTTATGCTCCGTGTGACTCTAAATGGACCATCGTTTACTAAATGAACATCTGTATTTTCTCATAGACTTACAGCCAGAGGAGTCGCTCCCTGCTGGTGGGTAGAGAGAATGCAGGTTCACAACCAGAGGCCGATGCCGGCCATGTGTCCAATAGTGTTGGGGAACCAAAACGATAAATAGGTTGCATGCTGCCCACATTAGATTAAGATTTGGTTGATTCGATCTCCAGGAGGCACAAGGAATTTCTTTCTTTAGCATAAAAGGACTAAATTAACTGGACTAAGAGACGTTTCTCCTCCGGCCCAGGGACGTATTTTGTCCGTCACAACAGCCACCAGCTGAGCAGGGTTTACCCTTCGGGCCAGCGCCTCCAGTCCTCCAACTACAACCCTCAGGAGATGTGGAATGCAGGCTGTCAGATCGGTAGGAGCTCATTTAATATTCTTCTATTCACAAGAGAAGCAGATACAGTAGATAGGGTTCGTCCTCTCGGTGTGTGCTACCCCCCCCGACAGGTAACATTTAGTTTGCTTTCTCTAGTTGCTTTGAACTTTCAGACGCACGGCGAGCAGATGGACCTGAACAACGGCCGGTTCCTGCAGAACGGCCAGTGTGGCTACGCGTTGAAGCCGCCCTTCATGTGCGAGCCCCACACCACCTTCAACCCAGAGAATGTGGGTGGAGGTGTTGGCCACGCGCCTGTTCTGCTCAGTGTCCAGGTAAGACGCCGCAATGCGCGGGTTGCATCACGGGAGGCGCTGCAAGTTTCCCAAATATTTTCACTGCGGTCAATTCGCTTTGGAAGGAAAAGATTTTCCTCATTCATTGGAATTTAAAGGCTGGTGAAGATGTTTCTGGCCCAAGACACAATAACTACCTTTTTGTGGCCCTACTTTATGCAATATCAATAAATGATATGATCATTTTTTATGTTTATTATGTAATAGCATTATAATGCAAACCCTTTTCTCAGTTACAAGAGCAATGACATGGAAATGGAAGCATTGGAATGTGACATATGTTTGAATAAATCATCAATCACAGAAAATCACACATCAGAAAATAAATACATTCTACTGAGCTCTTTTAATAGGTCTGCAGTTTACCCAGAACATGGCATTTTTATTAAAACAAAGAATGCATATTTAATCCATTTGGACCAGTTGTGTAAACACACAACTAAAATGGACCAATGTCATGTCCATATATGGTACCGTTTAAGTAAATATTACATTTTTTTTAAATTTTGTAGCATAAAAAAAACGTTTTACAAGTCGATAAGATAGAAACGGATCGAGCCCATCCATGTTGGTAAGGTACTGTAACTGGAGTACGTCACATCCGGATCAAGTCGCTGACTTAAACATGAGAGCGGTCGTTTTAAACACAACACGGGCCGCGGAGAACATCCATAGCTCACTAATATACTCAACGTGTCCATTGCATTGTACTCTCACCAGATCGAGCTGTGGTTTCATCGTTCTTCCAGGTCATTTCGGCTCAGCAGTTGCCCAAACCAGAGTGGGACAAACCCACCTCGATTGTGGACCCTCAGGTGTGGGTGGAGATACACGGCGTTCCCATAGACAACAACAAGAAGAGAACGCCGCATGTCGACAACAATGGTAAATGCCTTCCTGATTGAACAAACATTCACGTCGAATGAAATGCCTTCATCGGCATCTTCGTCAGAACAGCGTCTGATCGTACACCGCGATCTGGTTTGAAAATCAAGGTGAAAACTGAAATTGGACCGAAAAGTTGAATAAGGAACTAACCAAATCATTGACAGATGTATCGACATCCACTTTTAAAAAAAACGTTTTTGTACTATTTTAAATGAATACACTTGGAACGGGTAGGTTGATTAAGCGGGTTGAGTTACTCTGACGGGGCCACAGAGGTACGTCAAGGCAGGGAAGCACTTCGAGCACAGCAAAGCACTGCACGAGCAAGTCCAATTGCACAAAAAACGGTGCGAATAAGCGTCTTTGCGTGTGGCCTTTCCCTGTTCCAGGCTTTAACCCAAGATGGGACTGCACCTTCAACTTCACCGTCCATGTCCCTGACCTGGCTCTGGTTCGCTTCATGGTGGAGGACCATGACTATACCTCGAGCAATGACTTCCTCGGACAATGCACCCTTCCCCTCACCAGTCTCCGCACAGGTGTGTGTGCGCGCGGTAGAGTTTGGCCACTGAAGGGGCCGTACCTTGTTGCAGGGTGTATGAAACCTCTTCAACGTTTGAATTATTGCAAATTGCAATCGCAACCCCAACCCCCCGACCCCCAGTCAGCTAATCTGTGTATAGTGCTTCATTTTGACTGATTATTGCGTTCTCTAAACAGAAACTGGCGTGGCACACATCCAGCTAATCACAGGAGAACATGTCCAACTGGTGTCTTCTTTCACTTTTCCCTTTGCTCAACCTCTGCAGGTTACCGTCATGTCCGACTGCTCAAGCTGGACGGCTCAAGACTCTCGCCGTCCTCGCTCTTCATCCATCTGAAGGTCACCCAATGTCAGAGTAGTCCCTCAAAGTCATCAAGTAGGTCACCGGCCAAGTCTTCTGCCAAGAAGCCCTGAGAGCATCTCTACAGTAGCAAAATGAAGCCTGCAGGAACCCGAATGAAGGTCTAGCTTTTCAGACCACCGATCTAGAACGCATTGAACCAGCAGAACTCCATTGATCCAAGTACCACAGTTTGGTACTAATTTGTCCCGACATTTCACGGTGTCGACTTATGTAGCAAGTTTTAATGTTATCTAAAAGTGAATTTTAAAGTAAAGGTTGTACACTGAATATGAGCTAATGAAATGCTCTGGCTGTATAACAGTGGAGTCACTCTGAGAAGGTTCTGCTCACAGCCAAGCTGAGCACGATTAATGACTGCAGGATTAATATTTAGGACAACCAGTAACACATAGCATAGCATTTTCATTTTATTTTTTACTTCTGCTCAACAGCCAATGTTTACCGCTAAGCTCTTTGTGGAGCCTACGATGACATCATACTAATAAGCAGCTGTTTAGCGGGCGGGATACTCCGGTAGCGCCAACAACGCAGATCTACGAGACTGTAGATCTGCATCCTTCTCATGGACCCTTCACGGCTAAACTACACCAGCTATGCAGTTTAAAGCCAAACGTTGACTTACTTCTCACATATCTCACACTCAAGTTCCAAAGGTTATTTCAACCCAAACGTTACCGTTTTTTAACATAACAAACTGTACGGAAGTTAGTTGATTTAGCCTCAAACCTTTTGTTAAATGTTTGATTCACAGTATTTTAGCTCGTCACAATCAGTAAGTTCATCATTTCTATCAGTGAACGACCGAACTATATTATTAAGTAGCCATGCAGACCTTTTATACTATAGATAGAATAGATCTGTGATGCAATAGATGTTGATGCAATAGATAGATTTGGTAGCTTGTTAGACGAGACGTACTTGCACGTGCTCCATAGTAGCTTTATTTAACTTTGTGTTTAGATGTAGAGTGCCATCCTGGCCACTGTGACATAAATCCCTGTGTATGAACAGATTAACAGCAGCTACAGCAGGTGACTGTCTAAAGAAAAGCTTTTATAAAGTGCTCATCTATCAAGAAGTAGGAACGTTTATATATTAGGATCATTTTATTAATAATCTTATGTTAAAAAAAGGCTGATTTTGATTTTTTTTTTTGTCGAAGCTGGTTCAAGACTATTGATATTTTGTTGTTTCATTTCATGGAACAGAAAGAATTATGAATATTTATATGAGAAAGATCTCATGAAGAATCTTATGAATAGGAGGAGCTTTTGGTAACGCTCCTTGTTACTCCCATGCATTATAAACACATTTGTAATGTGCTTATAGCACTTTATCATCAGTTATAAGCACCCGGAGTTGAACAATGTATTCATTTTTGCTTTACTTTGAAGTAAACAGTGACCACTTTTACTAAATCGTAACTAAATTATAACGCATTTTAAATAATGAAATATGGTCAATATAAAGGGTTGCAATGGTAGTATTGTTATGAACCTCTATGATTATTGATGAATGCCTTTAACTACAATTGTATTAACTACAATTGCTCTATAAGCAGATTATAAGTATGTTTATGATGCAGCATAGATATGGCTCCGTGAAGGGAGATCAGCAATCAGATCTATTCTTCTATATTTTAAAATGATCAGAGCAAGATGACGTTTTGCATTATGAGGAGAATATTAAAAGAGACAATTTTTCATTCATCAGTTTACAGCTCTTATAAAATTGGGCCAACAGTCTCAGACAAACTCCAGCCCTGTGACAAATGTTTTAGAAGCTGTGTGTGTACATGGTTAAAGACTAAAGGTCTGGTTTTTAACTGTACCATGATTACCGAAAACTGTAACTGTACAAATCCAAAGAATTGATATCATTGTTTTTTATTTATTACATTTGAAGTATTATACTATTTTCCTTTGTTATAAACCAGCTGTATAATTGTTAATGTGATTATTTATTCTCACAGGTGATAAACACAATGAAACAAACTACACTTCCAAATGGCATGTTTTGTTTTTTAAGGTGAAAAGGACTAAAAAGCTTAAGTTCATCATAAATTGCTCTTTCCTGTATTTTATTTTCAGATCTTAATCTCAAAGCACGTTCCCTTCAGTTTAATTTGATTTGATTTTGATTTGAAGCATTTTATTTCTTGAACATATAGACATTAAAAAAATAAAAAATGTATAAATCAACATAGACATAGACCACAAAATTAGAAAAGTCACCTTTTGTTCAAGAAAAGGAGTAGAGGGAAGCAAAAGCTTATAGATACCCACCCCTATCTTATCCATATTCTCAATTAGTATATATTACTTTGAAGATTAATATCATACATACATACACACACTCTCTCACACGCACTCTCTCACCCACACACACGCACGCATACTCACACGCACAAATAAATACAAATACAAACGCACAAATAAATACAATATTTTCACAGATCTCATATTTGGCTAATGTGTATAATTTAAGATGTTTTTTGAACTGTGCAAAAAAAGTGAAGAGTTCCAATGTTTATCATCCATGGTAGAGGAAAGGTCCATCAATGGTTATGAACTCTTCAGACCATTGAATGGATGCATTCTGAAAAGGGGCCTAGTTTTCCTTTGAAAAGACCCTCAGGGGGCTTGAATACGTGATGAACACAAGTGGCCACTAGAGGGAGCCACACTCCATTTACTTCCAGGTGTGCAGGATGCAGAGATGGGGAAAAATACATCAAAATGTATTTTGATACAAAATACCCCTAAAATAAATGTATTAAAATGAATCGCAGAGCATTCAGGTTTGGAGGATATCATGTACACAAAGTTGTGGTGAACCCCACAAGAAGTCAGTGTAACTGAGAAAAGCTATTTTAAGACAACTTGATTGATTATGTATTTTCATCAATGGGACAGTCCATGCACTTTGCCTTTGTATGACCAAGAAAGTATGCATCAGATATGAAAAGCCTCATAAAAGGCACATATCGAATAAAAACACAGGTAATTAAAAATGAATTAATGTACATCACGTTCTGCACAGAAAAATAATTAACAAGAACAAGTAAATAAATACAAAAGGCATCAAACGCCTCTTAAAAAGGTTTCATAAATATACGAGCTCCCAATCTTCCTCTTCCTCCGCGTATAGTTGGCACTCACTGACAGCCAATGAAATTGCAGCATTATTGTCTCCCGCTGCCTCTTTCCACCAATCAGAGCCCCACAACAAACCATCTGGCCACACCTACTAGGAAGTGGACAGCACCTGACATGTCATAAGAACTCTCGGCAGTGTACTCAGCGCTTCTTTTTTTTTAGCATTTAACGTTAAGTTTCCCGGACTGCATCTCTTTCGCTCCATGGCCAGTTCCTTCCCAAGCGCGGCCGAGCTCGTGGCGGGCGCGCGGCGCTTGTTTGGCCATGTTTTTGGGGAAGAGGCTCCACTGACGGCGGCGTGCGCCCCCGGAAGAGTCAACCTCATCGGGGAGCACACCGACTACAACCGGGGATTCGTGCTCCCCATGGTAACCTCACAACGTCCGCTGCGGGGGCTCGAGTCTTACCTGTGTGATGCCGGTGGGAGGGAGACCCCGTCGATCGCGCCAAATGTCGTTATTTAGTGTTGTACTGCAGTGGCGGCTGGCGCCTATTGATGACGTGACGGTCACTCTGCCGTTAGATGACGTAACTCACAGCGGCACAACGAATCATACATGACCATCGGAACTGATTCATTACTGCCGTACAGCTTACATTAAGAATTATGAAATATATTTATAGAATTTTCTCCCGAATGATGCCTCGATATATATTAATGAGAATTTGGGGAAATCTGAAAATTGGATAAAGTGAGGTTCAAAATATTTACTTTGATTTTTATCAAAGAATTATTGGAATTAAAGGTTGTTACAGAGGTAACTTTGGATGTCTCCCTGTATCGCCCCATAAATCAGAAAAAACGGTCAACAGGCATAAAAAAAGAAATCGCCATATACATCACCAATAACATGTATAAATAAATCAGAATATAGAGAGCAATGAAACTGGGAAGTGTTTCACATGTAATTGCAGAGAATAACAAATAACCATGAAACTTCCCCAGTTGATAACTTGCTTAAACACAATTACATTTTGTATTACATGTTATCTGAAAAGTGGAGTGTGGATATGCAAATGAGGCAGCGTCTAGTAGTAACTTTAACTGAATTGAAATCAACAGGTTTTAGCTTGTAGTTGTCACAGAAAAGCAGAACCTCGGAAGTGGAAGGTGGAATTATAATTCCACCTCTCAGTAAAAAGTAGGAAATGTCATACTTCCTGCTTTTATTGTTAGGTTATTTCCCCTGTGACAAATGGGAAACGGTAATCGCTGCGTTGTGCTTGTCATGGTGCGCCAGGCGCTGCCGCTGGTGACTGTGGTGGTTGGGGGTCAAACCTCCGGCCCGAACGTCACCGTTGTAACCTTAAGCGAGGATGCTGACGAGCCTCGGAGGGTGGACTTCTGCCTGCCCAGTGACGGATCACCGCTGCCTCCCGGGTTACCCAGCTGGGCCAACTATGTGAAGGGTGTTATCCAGCATTACCGGGGTAAGCCAAGCCATTAGAGACCCACAGCTGTTAAAACGTTTCACTTTCTGGTGTTTGGCTCATGCGGTGAATGAGAACAGATCCTCTGCGTATCTCACAAGTTGACCGGCTTTCGTTGGGCAGCGTATTTATTTCATGCGCTCTGTGTGCCCGTCTCATGCTGTGCCTCAGCTCCACCCGTGCCAGGGTTCAGGGCGGTGATAGCCAGCAGCGTGCCCCTGGGAGGAGGTCTGTCCAGCTCCGCCTCTCTGGAGGTGGCGTTCTACACATTCCTGCAGCAACTCAAGCCAGGTAACAATCTGACAGGCGTGTCTCTGATACCCAGTGGGTGCAGAAGGGAAGGAATCTGTCCTTATATGAGAGATGGAGGATGTCTGGTGACTTTTCAAGAAAAGGCCAATGATTTGGTTTTGACATCAACCAATATTGATTGATTCTGAAGCTCTGCTTCAGCCTGTAATCTGTGGACCGATCTGTGGTTTGAAGCCTTGAGTCTCAGTGTATTTGCTGTCATCCTCTTGGTTTGTTTGACCGCTATGAGGGCGGAGCTAAGTACACCTGAACGCTGAATGTTACAGTTAACTTCCATGAACTGAAAACCTGAAACTACAGATTGAGAACATACACTCATGTTTCCTGGGGGAATAAATTAACAGAGGAGTAGAGTCATTTTCTCATAAACGTCTACACAACGATAAGAGTCGCCCCCTGCTGGACAGTTTAAAGCGCCCCTGCATTGGGCTTCTACTCGCCGTCTTTCTTCATCTCTCAGATGACGGGGACAAGGTATCTACAGCGCTGGCCTGTCAGAAGGCAGAACACACCCACGCCGCGGTGCCCTGTGGCATCATGGATCAGTTTGTGTCTGTTTTCGGCCGGGAGGGCCATGCTCTGCTCATCGACTGCAGGTAAACGGCCAAAGGCAACACGTAGATTTTTTGGATAACATTCTCATGTTTTGGGCAAAATGGTTTCTAGGATAAAGGGACGTTTGATGCATTCACCGTGTTCAATGATGTGCTTGTTTGTGGTGGAACAAGGTCGCTGGAGTCCACCCTGGTCCCTCTGGCGGATCCATCCTTGGTCATTCTCATCACCAACTCCAATGTAAAGCACTCTCTGACCGGCAGCGAGTACCCCACGCGACGCAGGCAGTGCGAGGAGGCTGCCTCAACCCTGGGAAAGGACAGTCTCCGAGATGCCACCATCAAGGACCTGGAAGGTGTGAAGCACACATCTGTCTTCTTTGGTCCTCCCGTATCCTGCTCTGTTGTGGCTCGCTGAACTAATCCCTGTCCTGTCCTCCTTCCCTTGCATTCGTCTCATTCTGTTGGGTCCTGTCTTTGTGTTTCTTACGGCTTGGGATGTAGTGCAGGCTTGGCTTTGTTCAAAGTTCACACCCACAAACAGACTGTAACTAAGAAGTGGAAGTAGTCATCGTGGTGTCACTCATTGCTTTGTGGACTTGCTGTGATGAAGCCTTGAGTTTGGCGATGTCTCTCGTCCGTCTTGCAATATGACCGTCGTCCAAAGTTACTATTTCATGGTATATTTGTCCGGTGGCAGCAGCGACTCTTTGTGTTCGGTTGGTTATTTAGTTTATTTCCCTTTTTTAAATGGTGCCAGATCTTCTCCGACTCTCGTTCAGTGTTTTTTTGCTGGATTGAAGTCTGAGGAAACAAGACATATTGTGAATGTATAAATTCAACCATGTATATGTTTATATGTATATAAGTCATTTGAAGTGTGTGAAGTCCAGACCTGTCGCTGTCGTTTCAGAGGCAAGGGGCAGAGTAAGTGACGTGACCTATCGAAGAGCTCGCCACGTGATTGAGGAGATTGAAAGAACCGTCCGGGCTGCCGAAGCCTTGAAGAGAGGAGCCTACAGAGAGTTCGGCGAGCTCATGGTGGAGAGCCACAACTCCCTCAGGTAAAAGCTCGGATCCGGCCCGTAGAACCTTGCAATCGCTGAGGATGCAGTGGCGCTCACCGGGTGTCCTTGTTTCAGAGACCTGTACGAGGTGAGCTGCAGGGAGCTGGATGAGCTGGTTTCCGCGGCCATGGAGGTGCAGGGGGTGTTTGGCAGCAGGATGACTGGTGGAGGATTCGGCGGATGCACCGTGACTTTACTGCAGGCGGACGCCATCGACAGGACTATAGTCCACATAAAGGTAAAAACACACACTCATTCACACACTGTGTACCGAGTCAGGTTCATCGGCAAATATTTATCTTTTTCTTCTTTTTAATCCTTAGAGGGAAAGCTGGTAGATTCATAATAAATAAGCTATTAGGCAAAAGCTGCGTTTGTGTTGACCATCTTAACACTGAAGGTGGCGAGAGACGGAGCCTGATTGCTTTTTTTAACTAACTGGACCTTCATTACGAAAGAACATCATGCTGTATTGAAGAAAACTTGAAACTAGAGACCATGAACTCATGTTAACAGTGTTCATTGAGGTAAAACATCGACTCGTTTTCTCATAGACGTCTATGAAAGAGTTGAGCATTGGCTTCATTTTTAAGAACTGAAGGTTTCCACTTGATCAAAACAATGATTCATCATTTTCCGTTAATGCTCTTTTTTTTGTTCTTATTTGTTGACATTTCTTCATAGTTCTCCTTTTTAATGGACACCTTTGATTTGGTTTTTGTTTTGCTTCATTGTGAAAATCAGGTTAACAAACACAGTGCTTTGCACAAGTATTCACCCCCTTTTCCCCATTTTGTACTGTTACAAACTGGAATTCAAATACTTTAAATAGACTCAACGTGCAACATACCTTTTTATTGTGACAAACAATAATGTGAATGAAAAGGTTTGTGTTTGATGCATAAGTATTCACCCCCCCGAGTCAATATTTGGTAGAACCCACTTTCACTGCAATTCTGTAGTCATGTAGATGTGGAAGCGTTCATCTATTCATCTTGGCAAAAAAGCTGAAGCTCAGTCAGATTTGATTTGAGACCATCTTTGAAAAGCAATTTTCAAATCTTTAGATCGATTCTCAATGGGATGGAGGTTTGGGCTTTGACTGGGCTATTTTAAAGCTTCAACACGCTTCGATTAAAGCTCTGACTGTATGTTGAGGGTCATTGTCCTGCTGGAAGATGAACCGCCACAGTCTCAAGTCTTCTGCAGACTGCATCATATTGCCGTGTATTTGGCTCCATCCATCTCGCCCTCAATTCTGACTAGTTTGCCTGTAGCTGCTGAAGAGAAGCATTCCCACAGCATGATGCTTCCACCACCACGTTTCCCTGTTGGGATGGTGTGTCAGGCTGATGGGCAGAGTTGGGTTTCCACCACACACTGTTTTGCGTTAAGCCCAAAAAGTTTAATTTTCGTCTCAACTGACCAGAGTACTTTCTTCCACATGTTTGCTGTGTCTCCCATATAACCCATGTGGCAAACTGCAAATGGGATTTCTTATCATTTACTTTTAACAGCGGCTTACTTCTTGCCACTCTTCCATAAAGGCATGGCTTAGAGTTGTCCTGTGGACAGATTCTCCCACTTCAGCTGTGCATCTTTGCTGCTCTTAAAGAGTTCCCATGGGCCTCTTGGTTGCTTCTGATTCATTTTCTCCTTGGCCGGCTTGTCAGTTTGGGTGGATGGCCCAGGTTTGCACTTGTGCCATGTTCTTTCCATTGTTTGATGATGGATTCGACGGTGCTCGCAATATTGTTTTTTTACAATATTGTTTTATTACCTAACCTTGCTTCATACTTGACAAAAACACTTTATTAGCTGGAGAACACAGGGATACACAGGGCACCGAGTCTCACCAACAAGGATTAACTGAAGAAGACAAGGAACACACCTGTTAAACCTGTTTAACAGCCATAAAAAAAGAAATCGCCATGTTACCAAAAACACGTATAAATAAATCAGAATATAGAGAGCAATGAAACTGGGAAGTGTTGCACATGTAATTGCAGAGAAAAACAAATAACCATGAAACTTCCCCAGTTGATAACTTGCTTAAAGAGTGTGGATATGCAAATGAGGCAGCGTCTAATAGTAACTTTAACTGAATTGAAACTAGTGCTTTCTAACACACACCGAGGCACCTACACAGAGATTACATTGCAGACCGGTGGACCCTATTTACTAATTACGTGACTTGTGAAGGCAATTGCATCCGATCTTTGTTTGGGGTTTTACAGTAAACTTCCAAATTTTGGTTGAGTGAAATGAACACTGGTTCAGACTGTAAAAGCACATATGATCCATGGAAGTGGAAGATCTTGTCCTCTCATCTATCTCAAATGTTTGGAAATTATATTTTTTCGCACTTATTACCCAAAATACAGCCTACTCCTAATTGTAAGTTTGTTATAGATGCGTATTTACACACCCGGGTGGCTGCTGTGCTTTCTGTGTACTGCTATCCGTTTATTTTCTCTTTCATATAATTTACTTTTGAAGATTAGTCAGAAATGGACTTATGCACATTCAGCTGACTTCTTTCATCCTGCAACCTTAGTTTAAATTACATTGTTTCAGTTTTCACAATTGAGTTAAAAAATATTGCATTCCGAAGGGCATTTGAAATGGAGAGTGGACATTGTTCATTTGTTCACAGAGGATAAAAATCACATGTTCTGTCTGTCACTTTAAGGGGCGCATTTCACACAAATTACCCAAGTCCCTCGTGTCTTGCTCAGACAGCTCCTGTGTGTGTGTGTGTGTGTGTGTGTGTGTGTGTGTGTGTGTGTGTGTGTGTGTGTGTGAGATCAGGGGCTATGGGCTGAGAATAAAAGCCAGCTTCGTGGAGCCACAAGTGTCCAGTTATTAGCATGCTGGTCTGGTCACCGTGGCTCTGCTGCCTTTCTACTTTTAACACGGTCCGACTTCGGGCCTGCTATTGGCTGGCATCACTCGGCATCAACAAATGTAAATGTACATTTGACTGCAGAAAATCACAGGAACTTCTAAGAATGACAAAAATTAGAATGAAAAGAACGGCAGCATTCTTTTTTTATTGAGCTCGGGATTCATAAATCTTTGGAAGCGGACTTGGCAGATTTCATTGCATCTTTTTTAACTTGACCGTATCCTGGCGACCAGCTGTCAAAAGAAACAACTCTTTCTTGGAAACAAAAGAAGCACTGGAGACATCAACATCCCCTCCGTCCTCGGCATTCCCGACCAGAGCCGAGGTATCCGTCTTCAGAGAAGGCGGAAGACGCTCCAAGATGCCCAACCTCAACCCGCCGGACGACCACGACTACAGGAACTCTCTCCAGGATCCGGTGTCGCTGAACGTTGGTGGGGAAGTCTACACCACGACCCTTGACACCCTGACCCGCTGCCGCGACTCCATGCTCGGCGCCATGTTCACCGGACAAATGCCTGTGCTGAGAGATCACGGAGGGAACGTCTTCATTGACCGAGATGGTAAAGTGTTCCGGTACATTCTGAACTACCTGCGGTCCAGCTCCCTGGACCTGCCGGACGGATTTTCCGAGCTGTCACTGCTGCGGAGGGAGGCAGATTTCTTCCAGATACGTCCCCTGCTGGAGGAGATTGGCCGCTACGAGGCGTCCGTACCTCTCAGCCTTCGTGGAGGGCCGTTAGGAGCCATGATTGTGGTGAATGTTTATTCCGAGGTAGGTTTAAAGGTCGAGCATTATGAGGCATGGATTATCTTTGTGAACGAATCTTTCCCTCAAAGAGGGCAGAGTATAGATTTTACAACAGGTTTGGCCATTTTAGAGAGTTTGGTGAAATCGACTTGTCACGCGCAAACCTCACATAAAAACAATTTAGTGCAAGGTGAAAGGAAATGTTGTTGCGTGAGGCCCATCATTTTAATTTCAGTAGAAATTAGCAGAAAAAGTATAAATTAGCAGACCATGTACATAATGGTGTGTGCTGTTTTTTTACAATTCTCACAGGATGAGGCAATATGACTAAATAAATCCATTGCTCTGGGTGTTGGATCCATGAAAGGTATTTCCAAGAAAGTAGTTAGTAGTTAGAGCTGTGAACTGTTTGATTTGGATGGCGGCAAGACGACGTGTCTCTACTTCCTCCCGCTGTACAAAAGTGATGCTAATCTATCTCAGATACGCTAGCCGCGATTTTAAGATTCCAACGTCGTTTGGAGCCAGAATCTGAGCCGTAGTAAACTGCCGTATCGCGGTCCCGCCCACACAACCTAACCTGAGCCAATTGCAAGGCAAGCATGGCCAAAGCTACCTAGCTGCTACGTTAGCAGCACCATAGCTGTTCTAATATTGCCTGCAGACCAACAGTGCTGACTGACTTTACTCACCCATTGAAACCAAATTATTTGGCTGCTGTTTTTCTCAAATAACTTGGGTTTTTATATTTCAATTGTCCGAGCAGTGGATATCTCAAAGTTTAGTAGACACTCATGGATGGAACAGGTCGTACCGACTCCTAAACTTGTTTTTAAGATACAGATTAGGGTTTGGTCTTGAATAGGGTCGCCACCCGTCCCTTAAAATACAGAATTGGGGTTTGTCCCGTATTTTCCGAGTTGTCGTACATTCAGCATCCCATGCAAATAATCCCACCCCAATTCTGTGAACTCGTCCTATTTTGCGTGCGATTGGTTAATACTCGCTGCTATCGTTGGTTTGATTGGCCGTGAACCTGAAACCAACCAATCGGGTCAGAGGAAGGCGGGTCTCATGGCGAAGTGTCTATTGGAAAGAATGATGGAGGCAGCTCCAGATACCCCGCTTCAGCTCTAAAGAGAAGGCGGATGCAAAAGTACCGACGAAAGTGGGAGGAATCACCGGGGGATCGCAGAGTCCCCCCGGTCGGCCGTAGCATCCCCTATTTTTCTGTATACGAAGGTGGCAACCCTAGTCTTGAGAGTAGGAAAGCACTCTGAAGGAACATCTTTTGGTATTATCAATATGCTAACTACCACCGCCATTTAATTTAGTTTGCACAAAGATTAGTATCTGGTGGGTGATACTGCTAGTCTGGAAAAAGAAGGTTCATTTTACACATTTAAAGTGTCATAGTTAGTAATCTAAGTGACTGTAGGACAGAGCCTAAGCTCCAGCTTAGCCAACTGGCTAACTGGTTTCAGTCTTTGTGCTAAACTATATTATTTATATGCCACTTTATATATATATGCATAATATTAGGCGTACACACTCAATGGTTATCAAGCTCTAAAAAAATGGCTTGAATTTAAATTTAGACTGGGTAAAACAAAATACTGTGAGAATTTGTGGCATTTATAAAGCCTGTCTTTCACAGGGAATTGTAAAACTTTAAAAATGACTGGCCTTGACTAACCTTTTCCAGGGTCTGTTTGTTGTTACCATACACAGTATGCCAGTTGAAGAAGTTTGCACATTCAAATACATGGACGGACCGGTTCTTTTGTTTGTGTGCACTCTGGAGAATGTGTAGTCAGCATAGTCTGCCCTCTCATTCCAGGTCCGCGTGCTCCACTTTAACTTACGCCATGGGCCGGAAAACTATGAACTCCGCACATGCTCTGTGCGAGCCTTCTCGGTGGACCTCTTCTGTACCTGGGGGGCCTTCATGGCCCTCCTCTGTGAGCGCTTTTCCTACAGAACGCCCCAAGGCCTTGCAAGCCCCTGTCCCTGCAACCCAACGAATAATAGGCTGAAACTAGAGTGGGTGCCAAGGCCCGACGAACTGCCGCGGGACCAGTACGACAAGCAGGGCTACCGGGGTCTAGCCGTGTCCTATCCGGAGCCCCCGCAGTCAGACGACATCATAGACACGCACCGCAACCCAAGCGATATCGCGGACATGCAGGGCTTTGTGGAGGAGTTGCTGAAGGTGTCTTTGGCTGAAGGCTTCAAGGTTGATCTGGTGACCCCGGACCCAGCAGAAATACTTAACTGCACCTCACTCCGGCTTGTCAAGTGCTGAGCGTTGGAGACGCTGCGTATAAAATGACCTGGATCTACTGCATCTTTGGGAGCGCTAGCGTTTCCTTAACTCCTCGTCCCGGCTGTTCGGGCTGCGCTCTCTCCCATGAATGGCAGTTTGTTATTCTAAAGCAGAGGTCTTCAACGTTTTTCAAGCCAAGGTCCCCCAAACTGATGGCGAGGTGGAGCAGGGACCCCCTATTCTACGGAGTTTGGTCCGCCATCTTTTATTTTTGAGCTTCACGCTCTTTAGACGTGAGCCTAAACGCGATCTGATGCTCTCTCGTATTCGCATGAACGGAGCTGTGAGTGAACCGGTGCCCAGCTTGAGAGCTGCTGAGGGAAGCTGAATGTGTGTGTTGCGCACTGACGGATAACGTCTTCTCCATCAATTTATCCGTTCGCTTCAATATGTTGGATTCATGTTAATGTGTCTTATCAACCAAAAATTTCACGACCCCCCTGCAGTACCTTCGCGGACCCCCTGTTGAAGACCTCTGTTCTAAAGGATATAAATCAGGCTTTTGGTGCATTTTGTAACTTTTAGGACCTACTAATTTGAATTGGGGCTGAATTATTGTGCCTAAAGAAGTATACGTTTAAAAAAATTATTATTTGCTGATCTGGGAAGCACCGTTTGGCCACTACAAAAAGCCTGCCGCGTCTAGGACTTTTCCAAAACATTGCTGGCTTTATCTATCCGTTGAAGTGATTCTTTTGGGTCAAACAGAGATGTCTATTGATTATCTGTTGACGGGCCTGTTATGTATAGAGCTGTGATGCAGTGACAGTACAGCAGTGAGTTGGAAATAATTCCGCCAAGGGATGAGACGTTTTTTCCGGATTCCACAGGCTGCTCCAGGCCAGGACTCCCTTCTGCTTCCCATGCAGTCCTGTAAATCCATCCAGCCCTTTCATCTTCATTTATTAACTTATGATTTAGAAGAATTCTGTTCTCTATTTTCCATTCCCCAAGCACTCTATAGGTGAGTTTGAAGGGAGGGTCAACATCACTCTTGTATTACTTGTTTTATTTACCTCTTATGTGGGGTTTTCTTGATGCCTAAGAGGCGTTTTGTGTGTATTTCACGGCATGTCACAAACTCTTTCTTTTCGAACACAATGACTTCCTGGATTCCTGGGGTTCCGTGAGGTTGCCGGGTAACCAGCAGACAATTCAGTTCTGGTGATTAGCCGAAAGCCCAAAAATGTTTAAGCCAGGCTGGCTGTCTCCAATCGTTATGCTAAGCTTAGAGAAAGACTTCCATACTATAGCTGCTGTCAATAGAGAGATATGAGGGCTGTCTGACAAACACAGGACTTTCACCCAAGAGACCAGTGTTTGTGTCCCCTGTAAAACCAAAAGTCCATGTTGTGTTGTGTAAAACAACTTTTATTAACTACATTTTTTAACTCAAAACAAAATCTTCGGTTTCCCCAAGCTAAAGAAGTATTTTTGTTGCCTGAATCTAAAGAACTAGCGTCGTTAGCTGAACCTAAATAACTATCCTCGTTACCTGAACCTAAATAACTAGCCTCGTTACCTGAACCTAAAGAAGTAGCCTCGTTAACTGAACCTAAAGAAGTAGACTCGTTAGGTGAACTTAAAGAAGTAGCCTCGTTAGCTGAACCTGAATAAGTAGCCTCGTTAGCTGAACCTGAATAAGTAGCCTTGTTAGCTGAACCTAAATAACTAGCCTCGTTAGCTGAACCTAAAGACGTAGCGTCGTTAGCTGAACCTAAAGAAGTAGCCCCGTTAGCTGAACCTAAATAGCTAGCCTCGTTACCTGAACCTAAAGAAGTAGCGTCGTTAGCTGAACCTAAATTACTAGCCTCGTTACCTAAACCTAAATAAGTAGCCTCGTTACCTGAATCTAAATACGTGGCCTTGTTACCTGAACCTAAATAACTATCCTCGTTACCTGAACCTAAATAACTAGCCTTGTTAGCTGAACCTAAATAACTAGCCTCGTTAGCTGAACCTAAATAACTAGCCTCGTTAGCTGAACCTAAATAACTATCCTCGTTAGCTGAACTTAAAGAAGTAGACTCGTTAGGTGAACTTAAAGAAGTAGCCTCGTTAGCTGAACCTGAATAAAGTAGCCTCGTTAGCTGAACCTAAATAACTAGCCCTCGTTAGCTGAACCTAAATAACTAGCCTCGTTAGCTGAACCTAAATAACTAGCCTCGTTAACTGAACTTAAATAACTAGCCTCGTTAGCTGAACCTAAACAACTAGCCTCGTTAGCTGAACCTAAATAGCTAGCCTCGTTAGCTGAACCTAAATAACTAGCGTCGTTAGCTGAACCTAAATAACTAGCGTCGTTAGCTGAACCTAAATAACTAGCCTCATTACCTGAACCTAAATAACTAGCCTCGTTACCTGAAACTAAATGAGTAGCCTCGTTACCTGAAACTAAATAAGTGGCCTTGTTACCTGAACCTAAATAAGTGGCCTTGTTACCTGAACCTAAATAACTATCCTCGTTACCTGAACCTAAATAACTAGCCTCGTTAACTGAACTTAAATAACTATCCTCGTTACCTGAACCTAAAGAAGTAGACTCGTTAGGTGAACTTAAAGAAGTAGCCTCGTTAGCTGAACCTGAATAAGTAGCCTCGTTAGCTCAACCTAAATAACTAGCCTCGTTACCTGAACCTAAAGAAGTAGCCTCGTTAGTTGAACCTAAATAGCTAGCCTCGTTACCTGAACCTAAATAGCTAGCCTTGTTAGCTGAACCTAAATAGCTAGCCTCGTTACCTGAACCTAAATAAGTGGCCTCGTTACCTGAAACTAAATACGTGGCCTTGTTACCTGAACCTAAATAACTATCCTCGTTACCTGAACCTAAATAAGTGGCCTTGTTACTTGAACCTAAATAACTAGCCTCGTTAGCTGAACCTAAATAACTAGCCTCGTTAGCTGAACCTAAATAACTAGCCTTGTTAGCTGAACCTAAATAACTAGCCTCGTTACCTAAACCTAAATAACTAGCCTCGTTACCTGAACCTAAAGAAGTAGCCTCGTTACCTGAACCTAAAGAGGTAGCCTCGTTAGCTCAACCTAAATAACTAGCCTCGTTACCTGAACCTAAAGAAGTAGCCTCGTTAGTTGAACCTAAAGAGGTAGCCTCGTTACCTGAACCTAAAGAGGTAGCCTCGTTAGCTGAACCTAAATAGCTAGCCTCGTTAGCTGAACCTAAATAGCTAGCCTCGTTAGCTGAACCTAAATAGCTATCCTCGTTAGCTGAACCTAAATAACTAGCGTTGTTAGCTGAACCTAAATAACTAGCGTTGTTAGCTGAGCCTAAATGAGTAGCCTCGTTACCTGAAACTAAATGAGTAGCCTCGTTACCTGAAACTAAATGAGTAGCCTCGTTACCTGAAACTAAATAAGTGGCCTTGTTACCTGAACCTAAATAAGTGGCCTTGTTACCTGAACCTAAATAACTAGCCTCGTTACCTGAACCTAAATAACTAGCCTCGTTACCTAAACCTAAAGAGGAAGCCTCGTTACCTGAAACTAAATAGCTAGCCTCGTTAGCTGAACCTAAATAGCTAGCCTCGTTAGCTGAACCTAAATAACTAGCGTTGTTAGCTGAACCTAAATAACTAGCGTTGTTAGCTGAACCTAAATAACTATCCTTGTTACCTGAGCCTAAATGAGTAGCCTCGTTACCTGAAACTAAATAAGTGGCCTTGTTACCTGAATGCAGTGGTTCCCAAACCTTGATGTTTTACGTAAATTGTAGGCTTCCCGACCACCCCCACATCACATATTGTAGCTTTGTTTTGAACGAATTGCATTACGGTATATAAACTAAATAATATATTAGTTTTTCTTTCGAAAATAACTATAAATTACTTTACTTTTCCTCGTCAGTATTAAAATTTTGACTAAGAATAAAATAGCAATAATATTAAACCACTGGGGTCTCTCTTGGTCAACAGACATGTATGCCCCATTCTATATTCCTACATTTACCTTGTTTTGTGCCGTTGGTCGCGTTTCTTGTTCATCCTATTAGCACATTGCGACCTTATTTATTTTTTATCAGTGTCTCTCTCTCACTCGTCTGAGCCGCTGTGAGTGTGTGGATGAAACGCAGCGTATTCCCTTTCTTTACAACTTGTTTGCAATTGTATTTGTTATTATTTTATTTTAAAATGTTTTACTGATCTGTGTGTGTCTCTGTGCCTGGGTACGGGTTTCCGTAATGAAGTTGCGCTCCCTCTGTAAATCAGTTACATTTTGTGTTTTGTGTAATTAGGATTTTACTGAGATAATTTCACTTTTTTACATTGTTGACCTGAATGGGAAGGTGACATTTCGTTAGACTTAATTGATAATGAATAGTTCTTTCCAACGGAAATAAATACATTTACACCAATGCTCCTCATTACAATTAAATTATTCCCTTTTATTCCTTGTAAATTAAACTCTTGATAAGTTATGAACTGTGTAATTGTGGCAGAGGAAAAGATGCATCTCGGCTTAAGAAGAAGAGGGTCTCGTTGGAATAAACAAACCCAGTGGTTCTTTTTTCTTGCTCCCTCTTTGAATGCCCTTCCTTGGGCTGTAGGGAGATGAACACGAGTACAACATGGCTCTGCAGCCAGTAATGCTTAGCGCCAGATTTCGGGATTTTTCTCATATGTATTATTGGTTTAAGTTCACCATCTATGAAGTACTCATTGTGTGTGTATGTGTGTGGGTTTGTTTGTTTGTTATTTCTTCCTAAACAGGAGCGATACAGAGGAACCCCAACTTTCTACGTTACAACTCCGTCAGAGGGAGCTCGGGCTCTCAGTCTGCACTGACCATCGACGACACATCTCTCCTGTGTGATCAATCCATCACTGTCCTAAGCCGTAGACGCTGTTTCCTTTTATTTTCATCACTGTTAAAATTAAACTGACATGCTGTTGTACACACTGGCTGATTGAGAAGGATTCTGTTAGTGCCTTTGCGATAAAACATTGTTGTGCCTGCAGCAAAGAGCAAGCAGAAACTGTTAGAAATGAGCTGTTGGAACACCTAGTAGATAAGGAGACAGATTGTTCTTTTTTCCTCAGGAGTTGGCAGAACAAAAACAGAACTAAAAGGACACTGAATGTCGTTCTAAAATAGATCAGGGTGACAAACCTATTGTGTGCTGGATGTGTAAGTAGAAATCATGTTTGCACATGAGCCATACAACTTTGTAAGGCAATAAAGAGCTGTGTGTTGACTTCTGCCTGAAAATTAAATTTGTTATCAGAAAAAGGTAAGAATTTTCCAATGAAAATAAACATCTAAAACATTTTCTGTTCATATTGTAAATTCAATGTATCCATCATAATTAAGTAATGTACACCTCATAATTTAACACGGAATTCTACCCAGTAGATAGGCTCATAGCTTTGTGGGATAAGTAGTATACTGTTGTATAGTTATTGATTATTAGAAGGTAATTCAGTTAATAGCCATTTTGGTACGAACATGTACAGCATCAAGAAAGATGACGAAAGAAGGCCTTCGCAAGAAAAACATTGGAAAAACTGCTCCGAGCCGATGCGGAAGCGGGTCAGAGTGGGCGGGGTGGGATCTCTGGGTGGCGGATTAACGGTGTGCACTTGAACGCATCACCGGGGAGGAGTTAGCCGAACAGTGAAGTTTAGCCTAGCAGGAAACAGACGTTACCACCGCGACAGAGGAGGAGGACAGAGCGCCTGTCCCCGTTTTACTGCTTTAACTGGAGCTAAATCTCGATATTTCCTCGGGAAATACAGTGTCGCTTGGTTTCTGGGATTAACATTGCTCGCTTGTGGTGCGGTAACATTTTTTCCCACTACTTTGAGGATAGAGCTTTAGCCAAGTTTAAGCAGCCGACGCTGGCCGGGTGGAATCTTCTCCAGCGTCTCAACCGAGGACATCCGCCGAGCCACGGCTGTTCTCAACCAGGTGAGTCGGGAGCTCGCGCCAACAGGTGTTTGCGTCAGTGTCAGTACGCCGACGGTTGAACTCTCGCGGACGACTTGGTTGTTTCTGTCCAGCGCCTGAACGGCTCCTGCTCGAGCTAACTCGGGTCGCTAGGTTAGCAAGACGTGATCCCCGTTTGCCGAGTGGCTAGCGGGCTAACTCCTTCCTCCCCACACGTACTCCAAACGGCTTAACGCCAGCGCCGTGTGTGGTGACACGCTCGCCTTTTGAGGACTTGGATTGGGCCACGCAACTTTGGTCATATTGCATGTTACACTTTTAGGCATTTGGTTTAAGTTGACGGTGCCTAACGTCACTGTCTCGCACACGTAAGTTACGTGGAGGGTCATAAAGCACCGTGACGCTTAAGTTTGCTTGATGTGTTTCTTCCATGTGTCGCATTGACTGAGCGACTTAAATCTCGCCTGTCGTGTTTTATGGACAAGTGGATCTGTCTACAACGATACATTGAATGGGCATTTTCTTGTGTGCAGCTCGTTGAGGGTGCATTTATCATCCAATCTCTTATTCCGGTTCGCAAACGATCGCCGGACTTATTAACTAAACCTTCAGCAACCATGGCGACCTGACGCCGGCGGTTTGTGTCTCAGCGGTTTACGGGCTGCAAGGTGTACGCAGGCGTCTCCCGCGGCTGCAGGTGAGCGGTAGCTGGGAGATGCACGTTGCATAATTACGGAAACGTAGACGCTCCGCAAAGGCGTGTCTCCCCAGCAGGTATGTCAGCAAGCGCCCTTTGAGTCAACGGTCTGGTTTCAAGCGTGAGTAATCTGTGCGCGCGCGTGCGTGTGCGCGTGTGTGAGCGAGAGAGGGAGAGAGAGCGTGGGACCGAGCGAGAAGCGTTCCACCGGTTCGGCTAGTTTCGGTTCAATCCACAACAACTCCACTATGAAGTGTAAACACCGCGTTTACTCGCATCGGGTCCAGTCCCAACTCTCACTGACCTGCGCTCATTTGTTGGAGTGAAGTGTGGTGCGTTCGAGGCCTCTTGTGTCACCTGCGCGCTCAGCCCATGCGCTGCGTGCGTTCAGACCCAGTGCTCCTGCCTCTTTAAATGCTAGTATCGAGCTAACTTTAACAAAAAGTCCCACAGTCTGGACAGGATACAGCTTGAAGGACAACAACTGTGTCCTTGCAACTCCACCTGCATGGGCACAGAGAGGCTTTGTTCTCGGTAGCTATTACACCTGCATGGTAAAGTCCACCTGCAGCTATTGTGGAGGCCGCATGAATGGCCGCTCCCAAATCAGGGCGGGGCGGGGGGGTTATTGAGGAGTATGGGGGGGCAAAAGCATGAAAGTGTTTTAGTTTTCTTCTGGTTGTGTGAATGTACATGCACAGTAACCTTTTAGAAACAGAAAATACATTTAACTGCTCCACCCTCACAAACCGGGGACAGCGCGGCCAAAGACTCGTCCCTGGTTTTGTTTGCGCTTGGAGGAAGACAGTCACTCCGTGTTTGGAACGCTGAAACCGAATCGTTCTTTCACCTCCGGTATCTGGCAGGAAAATAATCCAGTTTTTCTTTGGCTTGCTAATGGGACGGCACAGGAAGAAGCAATGCTGCAGAAGGGTCTCTTTACGGCAGGGCTCATGAAAACGATGTTTAGTGTCAATGGGACAAATAAAGGGTTAATAATCTATTCCAGGACATAACTCATTGTGAGAATGTGATTTGGCCCCAACGGTTGAGTAAACGATCTGATGGAAGATGTTACTTAGATTTGTTCTCGTGGGTTCAATGTGTCTGCAAGCAAATTCTATTTGTCACCAAATGATTTGTTTCCCCCCTAATTCCTCTGTATGTTAAGTCCCTGTCAATGAGTGAATCACGGTTATCCACACACACACACACACACACACACGCGTCCCTGGTTCTGATTACAGGAAGGCGGCAGTGATAGAATATCCTACCAGCCGCGCCCAACGCTGACAACATCTTCTATCTGCTTTGTTGGGGACAGTGGAGGAAGCGTCCCCTGTAACGTCCTCCTACCCCGGCTTGTCTGCCGCATTCTTCTGCACCCCCCCCCCCCCCACACCACACGCAGGGAAGCACTTTTCCTAGTGTCGTTTCAATCTGCTCACGCAGCCCGCCCCCTCCCACCCAACTGACTTTAAATGAGACCAGAGTCCCCCGCACACCAGCCGATGCTGACTCAACAGTGCTCTTCTTCCATTACCCCCACCGAGTGGCTCAGTGGTTCCAGTCCCTGATCACACAGGTGTGTGTTCCATAGCTGCGTTGTGGTGTCTATATGTTGACTGTTATTGTTATTGCACATATTTGCACTTGTTATAATTACTATTATTTGTTTTCGTCGTGCAGCAAATTCCTGCACAGCTGCCGCTTGCAGTCCGTAAGAAGAATGTTAAGGATTGCCAGACATTTCCCGGTTTCTCCGTCGGCGCGATGCTCGCTATTCCATTGACAGACTCGGTTTCATGCCTCTTTGCGGTTGTTATTGTCGTGTCCAGGCATGTTTATGCACATTTCATTCCCTTTCACTTTGACTCCCTTCTCAACGTCGCTGGCTCTGTTGAAATGCTGGGAATTTGACATCCCTGAACTGAGGGGAACCACAGATAACCAATCTGACAGGACATGTGAGATTATTGAGCAGCGAAGGCGACTCATTCAAAGCAGACTGAGCTGCCTGAATGTGACTTGTGTGTTTAATTTGCAGAGGTAAATGCAGTGCGTCACCTCTTCCTGTTGAGGGATGAGCTCACCGCAGATCAAACGACGCGATGACAGACGCGGCGTTTGCCGTTTTTTTTTGTTTTTTTCAACACAAGCTCATTACTCCCGCGCTGGCAAGTCGAATTCCTGGCGGTCCGTATCGGAGCGTTGGACCCCGGCACTGTGCTCTCTGCTGAAACCGGCTCCTCTGGGTCTGAGGGTCTCTTCTGACCCACCATTGTTCTTCTGATTAACCTGAAACTAGCAGGTCATAGTAACAACCACAATCCTCACAGGAACAACCATATCCAGTCTATTCAATGCAAATCAGTGTGAATGCTGAAGCTGAATATGAACCATGAAAGACCGTAGAAAAACAAGCTAATCTTCAGTGGGACCAAATAAATCATCGTTTTCTTTTAACTATATAAGTGTGTGTGTATATATTTTTATTTTTTAAGATAATGTGTGTCACCAGTGGGGTGATACAACACACACTTTAAAAACCAAAGTAAAATTGGTCAGATAAAAATACTAATACGTGAGTTATTTTGGAATTAAGCCCATTTATTATTAAGCAGCTGATCTGGTGTGGAGCTGTTTATCACATTTTACTACACAAACCCTTTTAATTTAACAAAAGAAGCCAAGCTTTTCAAGGAGTGGGGAACTAAATCAGCGTGCGGCCCTTTTGTCAGCATTAAAGGGGCTGATGTATTTAAAGTCTTGGTTCGGCCTGCGAAGCCTCAATAAATTAAGCCACTACTCAAAACCACAACATCCAGTGAATTGATGCCTCGATGTGTTGCTGAAGGAAAGGATTGAATAAATCAAAGTGCTTTAGCTCTACATGTCTTCATCCACACGGCGCCACCTTCCAATCAATAGTAACAGTCACAGCACGGTCACTGGTCCATCCTCTGATTGAATAACCACCCTGAGACAGTCGCCCATGAAGTGTCACTAATAGCAAAATTCACCCTCGTGTGGTTTCTTAGGCTTTATATATGAAGTGGACATTTTGCGTTTGGCTAAGCCAATGAAGTGAAGTAAAAAGTAAATCGATATAGTTTGCGAGAGCGAGAGACTTAATTGTGACGTTGGCCTTCTGATGAGTAGCTGGCGCAGGAATAACACTCGGCTGTCTTTAATGACGGGCAATTTGTGCTCTAATGTCTTGCACTTACTTTAAAAGCTGCAATTAATGTGATGGCAGAGAAACCGGGGGGGGAGGAGATTAGGACGTCTGTGGGCTGCAGAGGGAGGACCCTCACATGCCGCGTCGCCTCTGACTATCTATTAGCGTTCCCATCCTGCTGGTGGGGCTTTGACGTTTCACACGTGAGGGAACCATTACTGCTGTTTGTTTGCTGTCAGGACGGTTTATGGCTTTAAGCTCCCTCTTCTAGTGTGACAGACCGTTGATTTATGATCTGTTCAGAATCACACATTAACAGCGGTTTAACGGTAACTATCACAGTGTGAAATAAAGTTTTACCAACAGTCGTTACCTTCTAACATTCAGTAAGAAATGCGATGGGCACGTCGTTCATAGTTTACAGCGTGTCCCAGTGGAGAACGCCTTGGCTGCAGGGTTGTAGGTTTAAGTGCAACTATGTTTTCAGCAGCAATGTTTTTTTTTGTGTCATTCATGCCGAGGACCGTCTTCCCCACATCTGGCCTCCTCTTCTAGTTTTACTGTCTGTGTCTAGATTTAACTAGGACGACCCTCACCACCTCTTTCCGCCCTGCAGCGTGCGTCAGTGGGCCCCTCAGGCCCCTCCGGCCCCCCGCTGGTGCTGAGACAGGATGAAGAGGTTCAGGCGACATGGCCAGGAGTCCCAGAGGGAACGACTCAAACAGGAGCTCTTCCAGTTCAACAAGGCAAGTACTAAGAACACTGACTCGATGTACAGCATCGCTAAGCAAGGCAGCTCAACAGCCAGAAGGGCCCCCACTGAGGATTTAAGGGCCAATCCCAAACTCAGAGCCTTCAACCCGTAGGAACCTAACCGACGTTGTGCTGTTCTTTCTTTTTATGTCTTTCTGCTTCCGCTGGCAATCCGAAGAATTACAGCATTAATTAGTCACAAGTCTTCTTGGTGGTCCGGGGTTAATTATTACCATCCCTTTGCCCCCCCGGAGCTGCAGCCTTATCAGCGTCCAAATGGAATTTGCCAAATGTTACCTGATGTTATCGATGGCTTGTCAAGCTACAGTTTTGTCCTTTAGTGTGTCCACCTGCTAAATAAACACAAAGCTCATTTCCTGCTTTCTAAACGCGTGTGTTTGAATGATGAGTCACAGAAGAATATGCTACAAAAACGGAGAACAAACATCCCAAACCCTTCAGTGTGTCGATCTGCTCTGCAGCCCATTTAGAAAGAGAGAAGTCCTCCGTTGTGCGAAACCACAACAAAGGCCAGTTGCAGCTCGCCCCACATGCATCATTTCCCAGACGTTTATGTTTATTTAAAAAGCAGAACGTAGGATATAGATCATCCACGAGTCAATGAGGCAGTATGAGATTAAACATGACTGGATCTGTTTATAAACCGTAGTTTGGTCACTTGGGAGTTTTATTGTCCATCTCCACCTGAAGGGATGAGGACAGTCTTAAAGTATGATGGCTGCTTCTGAAGGTTATGAGGTAAATGTATAACAACCCTGTCCCTCCATAACCCTAACCCCCCCCCGTCTGCTCTCGCCCCTCTTCAGACGGTGGAGCACGGATTCCCCCACCAGCCCAGCGCTCTGGGCTACAGTCCCTCCCTGCAGCTGCTGGCCATCGGCACCCGATCCGGGGCCATCAAACTGTATCCGACTGCGTGTGTGTGTGTGTGTGCGTGCGTGTGTGCGTGCGTGCGTGTGTGTGAATCTGTCGGGTTTGAACTTGACGCAGGTTTGTGGCGTAATAAACTGCATTTGGCACTGCTAAATCCTGGTGTGCGGTCACATGGGTCACTAGTTGGGGGGGCTTTAGCTTTTTCCCACGCTGCGCCCCCCCCCCCCCCCCCGGCGGGGTCGGTGTGGCCGCGGCCCCCCCCCGTCTCACCGCTCCGCTCATTGATGGTGCAGCGGAGCCAGTCGGTTCCCTCTGCCCATGTCACGCAGGCAGAGACGCAGCGGTTTTGATGCCCTCTCCGGCCGGGCCGTTTCCCACAATGCAGCAGACTGTCCCTCCATACAAGGTTCCACAGGGCACAGATGAAATCGTTGAATGATTGTTACGGTTCTGAAGCGGCGGATGCTTCAGACTGTGTCAAACAACAGGAGCCACTGTTGTTTGACACACAGCACACGAATCATTGGGTGACGTGTTGATTCCCTCAACACGTCACCACTGAACACTGTCTCAACAAAGCCTTCAGCACACACGGGTTGTATGAGGGGAAAAAACCTGCTGCTGGGAGGGGGTTTGGACCAATACTGCGCCCAGGATTTTAATTAGTTTAATTTCTCATTCTAACCCCTCGTTCACATGGGCCTGATGAAAAGAGGCACCTTTGATGAGCTTCAGTTAGACACAGATTCCATCGAGCACCGTAAGCGCTTCAGCGCCGTTCAAGTCGAGATATAAATGAAGAAGCTTTTCACACGGTGTGACTGGCCAGACGGGGTTAAATGAGTGCACTTATTTTTTTGACACCATCCTTTGATCATAGCGAGTGTGGCCTTGACCAGCGGTCAGATATGGAGCTCCGGGTGTGGAGTTCATGGGTCTACATGACGAGAATGCTGCCGTGACCCAGGTGCACTTCCTCCCCCAACAGGTACGGTCAAACACACTAGACGGGAGCTCTTCTGCTTCTTAAAGGCACTGTGAGGAACTTTCGACCAGTTCTGGAACGCTGCCTCCGTACGGCCGACATTAATAAGCGGGCCCATCAGAGGACAGACGGACCCGCTGCAGGAGGACAGTCTGGTCCTGGGAGACATTGCTGTTTTGTTTGGATGAAAAGTTCCTCCCAGTAGCTTGAATGTAGCCAGCCTTGTTTTTCAAGTATTCTCTGCTTGACCGTGTAACCGCCTTTTGTTGAAGAGCTTTTTGGACCGTACTTATTGTAGCCCATGATCAGGTGGAACTGGTGACCCTGCTGGATGACAACAGTCTGCACATGTGGACTTTAAAAGCTCACACGGGACTGTCTGAACTTCTGGAGATCGGACGCTTCACTCTCACTGGACCACCTGGGTAATTCGCACACTCGCACCGACCTACAGAACCCTCGGCCCCCTTTCTTTTATTTTCCCATTGTGGTAGTTTTTAATAAAACATCAGGAGGATATTGGCTCCAGTCAGGTTGCTGGCTGCGTACTTTGTGCCCCCCGAATGATCCTCGCCCTGAGGTGGTTCCTCCCGATGGCTCCGCGGGTATCAGGGTGGAGCTTACTGATCCCACACCAATTCTTGGAATGGTTTTGGTCCAAAAGGCACTCCATACAGACCCAGTGTGATGAATTCTTCACACATTTTTGGAGCGTACATCTCAAACTAATATCCTGATGCAGCTTCTTAACGTGACGGCTTCATGCATTGGTTTTTTTTATATCATAAACAGAATAGTTTTGGACTAAAACAAATTAAAATAAAACCTTGTGCTGTGAGTGATTATAACTAAATTGTTAAAGTAATAAATACATTTGCAGACCAGATGATAACTGTACGATTAGCTACAACCTAAACGCCAACCGACATCCCCCCCCCCCTCCTCCTCTTAGAGCCCCTCCCAGTGTGACCAGGGTGACGGCGGTGCTTGCTCACTCCTCGGGTGAGCTGCTGCTGCTGGGGACAGAAGGAGGCCACGTCTTCATAGTGGAAGTCCCCGGGTTCAGAGAGCTGGAAGAGAGGAACATCAGCCTGGACCAAGTGGCCAGCAGGTGGGCAACGAGCACGTGTGTCATGTGGAGCTCTGATCCCACGCGTGATGTTTCTGCTCCGTCTAATCTGCAAAGCATGTGTATTAGGCCAAGTACAAAACCCACCTGGGACCCGGAAAGGGATTTTATTTTGTCAATGGGATAAGTAAATGTCCCATGCAACCACAAGACCAACCGAAAAGTAAACATTCGACTTGCAGCCGCTCAACAAGTCGGCTCATGGTTTTGCGTTATGCTGCAGTGGTCAAACAGATGAGCAATAACTCCACCACTAGAAGTGAATGTGGAAATAATAATGGCCCCGCTCTGCGTGGCAGCTATTAGTGTGGAGGGTTGCAAAATACTGGGATTATTCAAACTTTCCAAGGAGTTACACTGAAATTAACTGTATTTAGCTTGTTATATACAACAAAACAACATTTTCTTATAAATAATGACATTCAGGACTTAATCCATTTGTGAGCACGTGTCCGTTTGTGCCCATTGGGACCGAACTCCCCTGTGCGCATCGATCTCTGGACGACTTTACATGTCCCCCCTTGCTGGGGCGACACTTAATGGCTAGAATGAGCTTTTGATTGAAAAGGAATTATTGTAAATATTGCGTACACGTGTGTAGAACAGGTTTGGTTGCTGCTCTTTCCACAGCAGCACACCTCTCCTCTGAAGATGCTCCCCTCGTGTTACGTTGTGACGCCCTGTAGTCGCTGCGGTCCACTGCCCCTCAGTGTCCACAGGTCCATAATACCTGGATGTTGATCCGTCTCCTCCAGTGTGCCGGACAACTACACCTGCCGCAGGAATCTGGAACACGTGGAGGCGCTGCAGGAGAACCCGGTGAACCCCAGCCAGGTCGTCATTGGCTACGGACGAGGTCTCATGGTCGTATGGGATCTGAAGAAACAGCGCGCCATCCAGCACATCCCCGGCACACAGGTAGGTGCCCTGCAGCCCAATGCAAGGCCCGGACACCTGTGCAGAATAAACCCTAATCCTTTGTGGTCTTCTCAATGTATCCGTAGCAACTGGAGAGCGTGTGGTGGACCGAGGACGGAGGCTACCTTCTCAGTTCGCACAATGATGGCAGTTACTGTAGATGGACAATGGGCAGCAAGGATGTGGACGAGGAAGATGTGAAATCCGACATTCCTTATGGTGAGGACTGCGCATTCTTTAATCCTAACTGGCTTTTTACGTTTCGCTTCTGGAGCCTGACGATGACTCGTCTTTTATCCCTGCAGGACATTTCCCCTGCAAGGCCATTTCGAAAATAGTTCAGTTATCTACAGAAGAAGGGTGAGTCCTTCAGTCATTTACTCAGTGAAAGGGGAACCTGCTAATGTTTAACTTTGTTTCCCAGATTTTACACAACCTATTGTTACACATTAATCTCTGTGCAAACTGTGTGTGCGTGTGTGTGTGTGTGTGTGCGTGTGTGTGCACTAGGCCTCCGTTCCTGCTGTTCAGCGGTGGTATGCCCCGGGCCAGCTACGGGGACAGACACTGCATCACAGTGATCCACGGGAAGACACACGTGGCTCTGGACTTCACCTCCAGGATCATCGACTTCTTCGCCATCAGGGGTGGACCACAGCACACAGGCAAGCAACACACACACACACACGCACACACACACACGTATGTATGCTCATACACTGCAAATGAACGCTACATCTCTCTTCTGCTCCGGTCTGGACTGCAGGGGACCCCAGTGCGCTGGTGGTCCTGGTGGAGGAGGAGCTGGTAGTGATCGACCTGCAGACGGAGGGCTGGCCGGTCATCCAGACGCCGTACCTGGTTCCCCTCCACAGCTCCGCCATCACCTGCTCGCACCACGTCTCCGCCATCCCCCTCAAGCTGTGGGAGCGCGTCCTCGCCGCGGGGAACATGCAGAGCACGCACTACTCCAAAAAGGTAAGCGCTGAGCAGATGTTACCTCTGGAAATACGAAATGTGGATCTTGGATTATATCTAAGAAAATTGATTTTTTTTGTCATTTTTAATAGTTTATTTGCCTTCCCTTTGCATTTCTAGTTACTATTATTTCTCACTGCTTTTGTCATGTCACATCATGCTTTTGTCTCATATTTCAATAAAATGTTGTTCAATAAAAAGCAATTGGTTGGAGAATGACATGGGTGCAGATCAAAGGACTTGATGATTCTCAGCGCTGCTCACTTCTGTGCTGCGTGAATCTGCAGAACATCAGACCACGTCTCACGTCTTGCATACTGCAAACTAGAGCCACACCCCCTTTTCAAATGTCTCCATCTAATAATCAAAAAGCATTGCAGGGTGAATTTAATGTACTTTGTTTCCTGTGGGATCACAGTGATGTCATCACATAAAATGCACAACATGGGCTCAGTTAAGCGATCTACCAAAAGTACATTTTTGTCCAAAAAATATATGCAGCTGATCAATCCAGAGTACTACTAGGCTGCCTTTTAGAAGTGGTTCTAAAGAAATAGTACCTGGTAATGATGGAAAACCATAAAGAGTGTGGCAGCGTCTGTGGGAACGTAGAATAACGGTGTGTTCAGAGCTGTTCATCATGTATGGTATGCTGCGTCCCGAATGCGGACACATTCCTTCAGCTCTGGTTGGACAGGATGGCGTTGGGTTGGTATTATTGTTAAACTTTTCATTTCCCCTCTCTCTTTGCAGCCATGGCCAATAACGGGAGGACAGAACCTGGGCCCAGACCCTCCTCAGAGAGACCTGCTGCTCACCGGGTCCGTTCTCAACTCTATCTATTGGTCTCTGTGACACATTTCCCAGAAATATTTCAAACAAATATCCTGTGTGTGTTTGTGTGTGTGTGTAGGCATGAGGATGGGACGGTGCGCTTCTGGGACGCATCCGGGGTCTGTCTGTATCCCTCGTATAAGCTGAGCACAGCTGGAGTGTTCCACACAGACGCCGACCCCAATGACAACATGAACCAAGGCACCGAAGGAGAGTGGCCCCCCTTCAGAAAGGTGTGTGTGTGTGTGTGTGTGTGTGTGTGTGTGTGTGTGTGTGTGTGTGACGAGCACTACCTGCTGGTAAAGAAGCTTTAAACTACAGTTTTAAGGTCAATAATGAACTGTGTTGACGTGGAAAGATTATTCATCTTTATGAGCGTAGACTTAAAAGTCTGCTTACTCCACAGTATTGGTTGGTTTAAAGCATAAATAAACGCTAGTAAAAGTGTTATTTGTCAGTTAAGTGTGCACCAAAACATCTGTGGAGTTCAATGGAGGGTTTTACACGACCACTACCGCTATTTTTAAAAGGAAGATTTTGAGAGAATGAATCAGATTGAAGAGCTTTTGTTTGTTGGAAACATCGGCGGACTATAAGGGCGTGCAGAAGGCCTCCATGGAGGGAGTTCTGCACAAACGTCAGAGCAAATAAACGCATTCTCTTGGTCGCCTTCAACAAAAAATGTCTCTCCTCTTGCTGGCAGTGAATTGCTCTGCAACACGCGCAGCCCTTTTAGAACCAAGAATTGAAACGAGTCCATCGACACGCCGCAGTTGCAGAAGCACGCAGTGCCTTCACCCTGATGATGTCATCACAGGGACTTGTAACGAAAGGCCTCAGATCATAGCTTGACTCATAGTAACAGCTTGAACTCGGATCATGACGCTGACGTGGGCATTATTATTATTTTATCACGCATGCACTTATTATAAGTCGCTTTGGATAGAAGCATCCGCTAAATGAAATGTAATGTAATTACATGTTTCTTTTCTTTTTTTTCCCAGGTAGGCTGTTTCGACCCCTACAGTGACGACCCACGGCTCGGCGTGCAGAAGATCCATCTTTGTAAATACAGCGGTTACCTGACTGTAGCTGGCACAGCTGGACAGGTGAGATGAGTGTCCTAAAGATGCATGCATATAGGTCGAAAGGGACAAACCATCAGTTAACCATGATTTCCATTAGTCGTGAGAACATTGTTGTCGCCGCACTATGACTCAGACGTGCTCAGGGATGGAATGGTGGACTCCAAGGATGACGTCGCTGATTACCCTTCCGCTCACTCCTCCCGCTGCGGGAACCGCGGGGTGGACGAGCCAAGTCAGCCGCCATCCACGCCGCAATCCCGCTTCTCTGAGCCCAAATAGTTCTTTTTGGCTCTGCGGCTGAAGTTACCGTCTGCCTGAGAAGTACTGAGGCCTTCGGCTGACGTAAAGATAGATAATAACTGCAGACTCTGCGGCTAACAAGGGGCTGCCACATTCTCAGTGTCTAACTTGAGGAATCCAGCATGTTAATAAGCCATGAAATAAACTGTTCTACAAACGAGGAGACAAATATCAACTCAACTGACTGTGATTTACACAAATATTCAGTTGACGGTTTCATAAAGCATGAGCGCTCAGTTTGATGCACTCTCTGCGTTATGGTACATAAGTGTTTATTGTAAACTTCCCTCTTTCAAGCTGTGCTCAGTCCCTCTGAATCCCGCCCTTGTCTCTCCAGATCCTGGTGCTGGAGCTGAACGACGAGGCGGCGGAGCAGACGGTGGAGGCTAAAGTCGTGGATCTGCTGCAGGGCCAAGAGGGCTTCCGCTGGAAGGTACTGACTGCTGTTGCGACTTCATCATTCCAATGCTTTCACCCATCGCTCCCTGCCCTGTGGAGCGGCCCAATCAGCATGTTGGTGGTGTTCCCCGGCGCTCAGGGCCACACGCAGCTGGACGTGCGAGAGGAGCCGGTGCTGTTTCCCCCGGGCTTCCAGCCTTTCGCTCTGGTCCAGTGCCAGCCCCCCGCCGTGGTCACCGCCCTCACCCTGCACTCTGAGTGGAAGCTGGTGGCCTTTGGCACCAGCCACGGCTTCGGCCTCTACGACTACCAGCAGAAGAACAATGTCCTCATCAAGTAAGCAAACACGGAGGAAGAGCTCGGGTAGGAGGTACCTCCACTTCATGTTCAAAGTAGCCGCACAGCTCCAGTTCAGTCTCTGTGACAGGGACATAAAGACCAGCTACATGTCTTTGCCGGGGAGCACGGTTGCGCAACCCTTTTTCCCATAGAGGAGGCTAAAATGAAAAAACACATCCTATTCCCCCAAATCTCTCATTTCAAACATGAAGGTTTTCATTTGTACATCTGCATTGATCAGAAAAGATCACGGTCATGCATGTGTCACCTCAGTATTCTCCCAATCGTAGGTGCACCTTGAACCCCAGTGACCAGCTGGCCATGGAGGGTCCTCTGTCCAGAGTGAAGAGCATCAAAAAGTCCCTGCGGCAGTCCTTCAGGAGGATCCGACGCAGCCGGGTCTCGCTAAGGAAACATCACGTCAACAACGCCGCCAAGGTCCGCTCGGTTCATTTGGCATTTGGTACTGAGGCAGGACGTGACCTGCCCTGCATTTCCATTCCTCATCGCCCCCTTCTCCCCAACTAGCTCCAGGACGCCAACGCTCGGCTGGAGGCCGAGCTGGCAGAGATGGAGATCGCTCCGGTCCAGAGGAAGATCGAGGCGCGCTCCTCAGACGACTCGTTCACCGGCCTCGTGCGGACAATCTACTTCGCAGACACCTTCCTCGCAGACAGTGAGTCCCACCAGGGCACAAACCCCCACTGTGGGACTCCTCTGGTTGTGTAGAATTCTCTGAAAAGGCTTTTCACTTGATTTATTCCCTCAGTAAACATTGAAAAGATTCGCTAGTTTCAAGTCTTCAATACCGCATGATGTTCATTTAGTGAATTATGGCCCATTTAGAACCACATAAGTCTGTAGGTCACTGCGCATTCCAAATATGCTAACTTCATTCATTTCATTTTGTATAGCCCAAAATCGCATAATTACAAATTTGCCTCAGAGGGCTTTACAGTCTGTACACATGAGACATCCTCTGTCCTGAAACCCACCATCGGCAATGGAAAAACTCCCTAAAACATGAAAAACTCTTCCATGAGGGAAAAAAGGGAAGAAACCTCAGTGAGAACGTCAGAGGAGGATCCGTCCCCGGGATGGACAGACTACAATGGATGCCATGTGTACAGAATGAACAATGTGGAAGATGTACAATCCATTCAAAAGCACAAAAAACTCTGGGAAAGAAGCTGAATTAGTGATGTGCATTAATTAAACGTGGATTATTGTAGAACGAGAGCGTGAGAGAGGAGCTTGGTGTGTCCTAAGAAGTCCCCCGGCAATCTAAGCCTATAACAGCTTAACTAAGGGCCGGTCCGGACTAACCTGAGCCAGCCCTAACTATAGGCAGAATCAAAGAGGAAAGATTTAAGTTTTACTTTAAAAGAGCTGAATCTGCCCCCGGACTGAAAGTGGAACCTGGTTCCACAAAAGAGTTAATTGGTAGAAAATAAAATAGGGTGATGGCCGTAATCCAAAATGCTGGCTTCAAAAGGCTTCGAAACCACAGTCCGCGTTTTGATGACCACACCCACTTGTTATATAGAGTCTATGGTCACAACGTACATGCAGCGTACCTCCCGGGTTTCTCATGAGTCTCCTCATTCTCCCGCAGGTTCACATAACACGCCGTCGCTATGGGCGGGGACCAACGGCGGCTGCGTGTTTGCTTACATGCTCCGCCTTCCTGCCGCAGAGCGGAGAGCGGACGAACCGGTCACCGCACAGCCAGGTGAGAAACCCTCGCTTGTTTTTAGGGTGGACTGCTTTCTCGCGCTTTGCACCCTCCCTTTGCCTTCTTCCCCCTCGTTTACGTTTCCTCTCTTTTATTTCCAGCGAAGGAGATTCAGCTCATGCACCGGGCCCCCGTGGTTGGCATCTTGGTGCTGGACGGTCACGGGGCTCCACTCCCCGAGCCCCTGGAGGTGGCCCATGACCTGGCCCGCTCGCCCGACATGCAGGGCTCACACCATCTTGTGGTCATATCTGAGGAGCAGTTTAAGGTCAGGATTACACACACAAATACACACACACACTCTCATACACAAGAAACACTCATTATCACCTGCTACGTTCTCATCGGCCAATCCACCCCCGATATGCTGACCGCAGTAACATTAAACCATTCACTTAGTTTGTACCGCAGTGGAAGATTCTCTGAACATGGACCATGTACCATCTCTATCGCCGAGTTACAAACTGTCAATCATGAACATAATCAAGTTATTAACAACCTGCAAACGCCTTAAATCTTGTTATTTGAGTCTAAGCTGTCAAACTACTCGGGCATTAAGTAGTGCTCAGTTCTGACCTCTGACCTCTTCAGGTTTTCGGCCTGCCGAAGGTGAGCGCGAAGACGAAGCTCAAGCTGACGGCCATGGACGGCTCCCGGGTGCGGCGGGTGGGCGTGGCCTGGTTCGGCAGCAGCCGGTCGGAGGACTACGGCGAGAGCGGCCTGGTGGTCCTGACCAACCAGGGCGACGTCCACGTGGTGTCGCTGCCGACGGTCAAGATGCAGGTCCACTACCCCTGTGTGCGGCGAGAGGACGTCAGCGGCATCGCTTCCTGCGTCTTCACCAAGCACGGCCAGGGTACGGCGCCACGAGCGGCCGCTAGCCAGAGCAGGGACTCACAAACCGCTGCTGTGCAGATGTGGAAGACCCAGAAACGCTGACCAATCAGAGCAGATTTGTTTTGTAGCGATGCAGGAATATTCTTCTCTGGTCAGGGAAAGAATGTGAACTAGAACTCAGGATTTCTAATTATACTTGTGACTTTTCCCAAACGCATGCTTTAGTTCTTTGCAGTTCCGCTAAATCAAGGAATCTTGGACCATGAGACGATGACACTCAGCGCCCCCCCCCCCCCCCTCTCCCATAGCACATGACACCAAAGTGTCACTTCTCAGTCAGAAGTGGTTATTTTTGTGTGAGGTAGTTGGGCCGGTCTGCTGGTTGCTGTGTGTGTTTATGATGGCTGACTTTAGACCCGTCCGTGTGTCCTCCTCGTCCCTCAGGCTTCTACCTGATCTCTCCCTCTGAGTTTGAGCGCTTCTCCCTGTCTGCCCGGTGCCTGGTGGAGCCCCGCTGTCTGGTGGAGGCTCCGACCGACTCCTCCACCCAACGTGGGTCGCTGCTCGATGGCGCTTCATCTGCTCACAGGTAACACATCTGGATTTTTCCTCTGATTTAAAAGCTCCGTTCCTTTCAGTACCCGTGACCTTTTTCTTTCCTTTTTTTTAATCCTTCTAGAATTACCAAACAGGAGAGCGAGGATGCAGGTAAAATGTCTGCCTGGCACCTGTATGCTAAAAAGCCCAGCATCATTCTCCATCATGCATGTTGAGCACTCGCACACAGACACACACTCACTGACTGTGCTGACGTGTCCTCTGCCTGCTGCCTGTGTGTTCCAGAAAGTGCAGCTAGACGTGTAATGGAGCATGCTTTGCTGAATGACGAGCGTGAGTACTGGGGAGACAGAACTCAAGTAGTGAAATGATGCAGAAGACTCTTCGCTTTCTGTATTTCAGACGCGTCACCAGAAGACAACTTTAAAAAACGTTAATCCGGTTTCAAAATTCTTCATTGTGTGACTATTTTTACACACAAGGAACTTGACATGAATCAGAAAATACTGTCAACAAAGACACAAATTCTCCTGTTTTCATAAATAAATACAGTTGGGCTGTTGATAAAATGGACCCACCCCTCTGTAAATACCTTCAGAACAGGGATGGAAAAGTCCAGTTTTCAGAGTCTAAGGAAAAAACAATTGTACACAAAAAAGCTCAAGTTCAAAACAATAAGATCTCAATGTGAAACTTGAGTAGCTAAACAAACAGCTGTGCATTGTGGGTGTTTTTGAAGGGAGGGCTTGTGATTGGTGGATTGACTCTGTCCCGCATGTTCCATGAGCTGCTTCTCCTAACGGGTCTGTCAGCTTCCTGAAGCAGTCACCTGTTAACCCGACCTCCTCCCAATGCATGATTTGAGTAACACGCCCCTGAGCCCAGCGTGTCACATGTCAGCGGCCCGTGTGAAGTGCAGACCACGCTGGTCAGTTACCCTCCTCTTTTGTCCTCCTGCAGAAGTACTTCAGGAGATCCAGAAGTCGCTGGAAGGAGATCACACGTAAGTATTCTCCATCACTGACTGATAACGCGTGACCACACGTATAACTGGGTGACTGGCTGTGGTCCCAGAGTGACTGGCTGTGGTCCCAGAGTAGCCCAAAGTCTCCAAGGCAGCGACCGCCTGTCCACCACCAACAACACCATCCGGCCTAAATATTAGATAAACATTTATTCATTGATTCAAATAGGATACCAACAAATGTCTTTCTAATGATCTAATTGTGATCATTGTCTACTATTAAGTGACATGGGGTTGAATATGAAGCCGTTCATTAACAGGACTGTGATGTCATCGATATGCAAAGACTGCCGCCCCCTGCTGGTACGGGGAGCTACTGCCTCTCCGACCGCACTAGTGTGCGCAGTACTAACGTGCTGTGTGTTGGCCGCAGGTCGTTCCTGGAGAATAATGTGAAGAACGCCGTGGCTTGAGGCGTCCGCTGACACTTGAGGTGAGACTCGTGGGGCGCCGCAAACTTCTGACCTGCTGGTTGTGGGAAGCGACCTTCTTAAACTGTTCTGGAACCTGTTGTCTCCTCAGAGTGAACTGACAACGCATGAAGCGCAGCACTCGCCTCCTGCTCACCAACGCAACCACTACTGCCCCCCCCCCCCCCCCTCCTCACCTCAGTGACTGACCTCCCCACTCCAAGCTCCCACGAGACCCCCCACCCCCCCACACCGTGGAGAGACAGTGGATGGCTCACTCCCTGTGCGGATGGAGGGGCGACAGAACAGACACCACTTGTGCCTAAAGACTGTACCCAATCAATCACAGCGGCCGTTACCCCCCCGAAGCCACTTGACATGTGACAGGATCGAACCAGCATCTCCCATCTGCCCCCCCCCCCCCCTACTCCACACAGCCTTCACCACCAGCGGCCTTCTCACGGGGCCCCGGCTCTGTGCGGTCCCAGCGGCCTTCTCACGGGGCCCCGGCTCTGTGCGGTCCCAGCGGCCTTCTTCCGCCCACGTGGACGCTGCTGGAAGGAGGATTTTATTAATGTTTGAAAATATTTTATAGCTTGAATTCTACACGATTTGTGCCTACTTTTTAATTTATAAGAGCAATACTGTGGAAGCCCATTTCTGCCGGGAAAAGGAAAAATGAACCTAGCAGTAAAACATGATTAATATTACAACTAATTGACCGTACTATGACATTATGGGCTGAATTGTAGAATCAAAATACTTTATTTGATTCGACATGAAAAACTAAGTCATTAAGTAAATTAATGACAGAAAATGTATCTAAATTGTTTTTTTTACACAAATTTCAGGAAACTGTTTGAATTTAAAGTTTGTTTTACTGTACCTTGGTATGTCAATAGCTTGTCTCATCTTTGCTATTTTAACATTTAAATGAGCTTCCATAGTATTCAAACTCTCACGTTGTCAATGATGCCTAAAAAAGATACGCAAGTTGTTTAATGGAAGCCGTGCTGGTGTGAAAATGTTTTCAAATCATTCGGGTGGAGGCCCCCCCCCCCCCCCCCCCGTCCACTCTATACCCTGTAACCTGCCACAGGTACGCCGTCACTACTGCGGAGCTCACAGTGCTGTACTATTGGGGGGAGGGCAGCTTTCTATGGGGTCTGATTTTTAATTATTTTTTATGTAAACCGTTTTTATATCCCAGCAATGAATGATGTAATTTAGGAATGTAACTAAGCTATTGTAGTGAAATGTTAATATATACAGTATGTATGGGACTCAGTCTGTACCTGTGGGCCTGTTGTGACTTGGGTTGGCTGCTATTTAGATCGTACAAGGAAATATTTTGGTACTGTGTCTCACAACGCTGGGTGTTTAGCATCAGCCTAGAATATATTTTTGTAGTGAACTGATTAAGAACCCCTGTTTTTTTTTTTTTGTTGTTTTTTACTTCACACTACAGTTTTCTTGTGGATGATTATTACATGTTTTCTTTCCCCCAAGAAACCAATGCGTCTGTTTTTATTTCCACACGTGATCCCTGTCTGCTGTCGGTTTAGATTACAAGGCCTTCATTTTACCTCCACTGATTATATTCCAGAACTCTTCTCTTTAATTTTTCCCCTCTTCCGGTCCAGCCTCGTTATCGGGGCCGAGGTATCTCCAGTGAAGTGGATCGGTCGTCATACATGCGGAGCAAAGCGTTTTGATCATCCATTACAGAGCGCGGCGCTTTGTCCACTGGCGGCTCCGCTGTAACCGGAGCGCTCGGAGGACGCGGCTAACAGCCACCGCTTTGTTCTGTGATGACGCTGTTTGTCCTTTGGAAGCTGAAGACGGGTAACGGGGCCCGGGTGGGACTTGGGCATTGAGGTGGATGTGCTACGACGTCAGCAGGTTCCAGTTCGCCCAACTAAGCTCTGAATGCTTTAGTGTTCAGTTCCTGGCGTTATGTAACACATAGATGCAGTCAGGCGAAACAAAAAAACAGTAGCACATTCTTGTGGTGTATTTACTGAATTTGTATCAGAATGACTCAACCGCAGCAACAAAAGTAGATGTCGGAACAGATCAAACGGTCGACCTCTTTCCGTGCAACTGACTGAGCACCGAGCAGAGGCCACCTCCTCGTGTCCCCACAGAGTTGATCTCCACATGAAGTTTGATCTCATCAGTCAGAGTTTCTGCGACGGGACATCCCGGCCCACATCGTGCTGGAGGAGCCTCCGTGAAGGTCTCAAAGTGCCAATAGTGTTCCAGTAACAAACGCAAAAAAAACATTAAAATCAAGCCAAATGTATGGATGGTACTGGCATGCACCGCCGTTGCCATAGCAACATTTGTTTAGCATAACGTTAAACCATTGAATTGAACCTTAAGGAGCCTTTTCCTGCTGCACAAAGAAGCAGTGACCACCAGGTTTTAATTTAACGGTAACAACAACCGTTGTCTGTAACCTGCAGTAGTTTAACCCACATTGCACGCCAACAGGATGCATCATGTAGTTGGACTTTGTTCTCAGGTTCTACATACAGGGTTCCGAGCTTTAATAGAGCACAAAAACAAATATTCAGGATCAGCAATCAGGAAACATTTATTTACCAAAATATGCCAAACATACAAGGAATTTGTCTTGGCGGTTAGTGCGCGACAGTAGACAGACAAGACAGCAGTGCACAAGTAATAAAATAAAGTAAAATGAAATGCTGATGCAATGGGTTAGTAGAATAAGGCTAAGGCTATGGGTTAGTATAAAACAAGGGAATAAAAGTTAAAGTTTTTAAATATTAAAAAAGTTAAAAAGAAAAATATTAACGAACAAGTAACAAAGTGACGACAAAGTGATGAATTGCAGTTATAGTGGGATGTGCAGTATGAGGGGGAGTGACCGGTGGAGTGTTATAGTCAGTCAGTGGGGGACCGGCTCTGTTGATGAGCCCGACTGCCGATAGGAAGAAACTGTTGGTGTGGCGGGAGGTCGTAGTCCTGATGGACCTCAGCCTCCTGCCAGATGGAAGGGGCACAAACAGCTTTTGTCCGGGGTGAGAGGGGTCGGCCACCATCTTTATAGCTGCTTCAGAGATTGTAGATGTGTTGTGGAAAGTACAGTTACGTCAGCAGCACCTTATATTTTCTGGAACGCAGAGCAAATCATAAAATGCCCTTTTTTCTAACTAAAATTGGTGGCCGCAGAAATTGAGAGGAAACGGCCGAGCAATGAAGCCCTTCTCTTTCTCCCCCCCCCCGCTTCTCCATCACTACCTATTGTTGATCGCCCCCAAGCGGCACCTCTCACCTTTCCTCCCCAGCATTCACCAGCTGGCCACATGAACGCAGCAGAGCCGTGTGACCAGAGCTGTATTATTCAGAAGGCAACTTGTGTCGGCGTGTGCACGTCGATGCACGCCAGCTCCCCTTTTGTCAACGGGGGGCATTGTGTGAGTGCATGAACCACACGCAACCTTGGGGGGGGGGGGGGGGATATGAAATATTTTGCTCCGCGCCCTCCTGGGAAAAGTTGGGGGGGGGGGGGGGGTATTGAATATTTTGCTCCGTGCCTCCCTGGTAAATGTTTGGTGGGTGGGATATTGGTGTGTATCTTCATGAGCATGGCTGCATGTTTGTATCACAGCTGTTGAGGACACGCCGGAGCACTTCGCAGCCCCCCCAGACATCTGGGTTTCACCTGAGAAGCCTGGTAAGCTATATTACGCTGAAATGAGCTGTCACTGCTTACCTCCCCCAGGGTGCACAGGCTATACAACTACATTTAGGCGGATCTAAAGATAGCCTACCACTCAGGTTTAACCTGCCGATAAAAGCTGTTGTCTACTCTTCAAAAGGAAGAGGAGAGTCGTTTTCCTCCAGCGTAGAAAAGGGTCATCGCCACTTTTGTGTTGTTTGTCTTGTTAGGGATGCGTTGCTGCCCTGAAACACAATAACAGAAAGCAAACCAGGTCAGTGATTGCTAAACTGGGTCTGACCTGGGTGTCTTTAGCGCCAGAACAAGGATCAGGGACTTAAAGTGTGCAACCCGGTCTAGATGTTGAAAGGTTGAGTTAAGGAGCTGGTTTCACTGAGTTTGACAGACATGTTACTCAACTTACAGCCTGCAATTGTTCATTTTATCGAGTGCGCGTCTACCAACGTACAATATCTAACACATAAAATAAAGCATAACAAGATATAAAGACAATTCATGAATCTTTCTTAGGTTATTTCAATACTGAAGAATTGATAGCATGTCACCGGTCAAGTCACAAGGTAAAACAAATGCCACAAAGCCGAAGGTGGCAGCAGCCAGAAAAGGTTATCAGCGGACAAATGTGACACAGGACGCCCCTCAGTCTCCCTCCAAGCCGCCTAATAGGAGACATAAAGGAAGCCTGAATTCACCAACGCTGAACAATAGAAAGACGGATGCAGGTCAGAGTAAAAAAAAAGGTACAGAACCAAAAGAAGTTGGGAGCAGACTAGGAAACGGGAAAACTCTGAATGATAGAACACAACTTCAACATGACAAACGTAGCAAGACAGGCAAAACCACCAAACTCGAGCATCCGCCAAAAAGAGCCCTGACTGAGGGTGGGAGGATCACCAAGAAGCTCCCCACCCAACCGGGAAACCAGAGAAGTGACAATGTGACCGAGGAGGAAGAATCAGCGAGTGACACAGGAAGCTCAGCAGAGGTGACGGTGGAGGAAACTAGCAACGACGAGAAAGAGGAGGAGCGGAGAAGTAATGAAGAGCCATCTGAGTCACATGGAAGTGAGGAGAGCAGTGAGGAAGAGGCTGAGGCATCAGGTACAGAACCGATGGCAAATGAGGAATCGGACAAAGGGCTTTCAGAGGAGGCTAAATCAAGGAGGGAAGCGGACACGTCTGGTGAAGAGGAAGAGTTAAACGAGAAGGACGTTGAAGTATCTGAGGCGGTCAGCAGTGATGTGAGTGGAGACGAGGTGATAACCCAGGAGGACGCCCTTAAAAAGCCAACAGCTGGCAAAGCCTGGAGACGACGCGGAAAGACTCAACGTTCCTCTGAGCCTGGACAAGGATCGAAAGACAAGATGTTTAAAAAAACAAAGGCTGACAAGCAGGAAGAGAAGGCAGAGAAACAGAAAGCCAAAGCAGAGAAGCAGAGGTTAGAAAAGGAAGCCAAACAAAAAGCCAAGGAAGAAAAAAAAAACAGGAAAAAAACACAAAAAGAGGACAAACACACTTCTGCAAAAGAGAAGGTTAATCCAGCAAAAGACCTTTGTATTAACCACGTTGACACAGTAAAAGGCAAGAGCCTAAAAGGAAAAATCAAAGAGGAAGAGGATTCTGTAGAAGCTGATCCAGATGTCGAAGAGGAGGAGACTGAACCAACATTGACCAAAGCCTTCAAAGGCCAGAACCGGATTATGCTTCTCAAAACCAAAGGTAAAGGCCTCAAAGCAATTCCGGAGCCAGAGGAGCGGTCGGTCGCTGAGGCTGTCGCCAAAGGTCGGCCACAGAGTTTGCTCTTGGGGAAGGTCAAGATGGCGTCTCTCCGGCAGAAAGCAAATAAGGTGTTGGAAAAGCCTGACGAAGAAACATCAGAGAGCGAGGCCATTACTGGGGAATCTGGCAAACCCAAAGAACGTTTGATAGCAAGGAAAAAAAGTGCATCCACTCTTCGCCGAGTTTCAGGTTGGATTCAAAAAAACATGCCCCATGGATTTAACATGAGAATGAAGATTTCTGCTTGGACTAAAGCCATAGGAGTCTCCCACTGGTTATCCTTTCGGACTATAAAGCAGAAGCATGTGCCCAGGAAATCAGAAAAAAAGGGTAATATCTTCAAACATCGAATGGTTATGAGAGTGGCCAGTAAAACTAGTCTGGCCAGCAAGAAAAACAGGGGCCCCTCGGCAGACATAACGGGCAAAGAGAATGCCAGCCTCAAAGGAAAGGCGGGAGAAGAAGGGGAAGACGTAGTCCCAGCTGGGGAGAAAGAAGTAGAGGCCAAATACGCAGTGGTACTTCCCAGGATGAACAAACTGCCCAAGGCAAAGATGGCCGAGGTTCCCCATGCAGCTCCTGGACCTTCTACTATACCAACAGGAGAACCCACCGTGCCACAGCCAAAACCCCCTAAACCAGGTGCCAGGCTTGTTCTCCCTGTAAAACCAGATCTCAGCCTTCTGAAGTCCATCAAGAAATCCTTGCCTGGGGACTTAACAGCAGCTGCAGACTTGGCAGAAAGGAGCCCTGGGTCCAGTAGTAAACTGGAGGGATCGTCCGCCATTGGAGATGTAAAGAGGAACGCCACCCTCAAAAATCAAGATGGAGTCAGTGTGCTACAGGCTGCAAGAGGGAAACTGAAAACCTCCCAGATCAACCTGACAAAGATGGCCTTGCCAGGTGGAGCAGTAAGTGGTGGGGTGACTCAAGCCAATAGGCCAAACCCAGAGAGAGAGGCTACAACTGGGATACCCAGGTCCACAACTCAGCTGTTCCCAAAGGGGGAGGCAAGTGCTGCAACG